CACTGTGGAGGAGATTACTGTGAGACACATTCATCCTTCAGTCATTCCAGCCATTCTAGGAACCTAAAATGCAAAGTAACAGCTGCAATTATGTCTATGTACAACACATCGTTTTTTGTCTTTTTGGTTATTCGTGTATTGTCAAATTAATAATAACCGATATTATTATTACTAATAGGACTATTATTATTTGGTTTGGTTTTGTGTGTTTGTTTTGCTCTTATGTATTGTTAAAATATATATGTAATAATTTTTTTGTTTTCCCCCATACAAATTACATGCATACCATTGACTTCCTTTCATCTGTTGTGCCACGGGAGTTTGCATATCCTATAATATTGAAATATTTTACAATACTGTGTTTGTCTGCTGCTCCACTTTGAGGAGAGATAATTCTGTGGTGTTTTTATTTTTTTGTAAATGTTCCTCTTCCATTTGTTTATGTGTGTTTATTTGATGCTACATTCCTTTAGAGAGACATAATGCAGATATAATGGAGCCAGCAGTCAGTGTATACACCACTTGAATGTCCTTGGTATGACTGCATGCCTTTTCCTGACTGTTAGAAATGATTCACCCACCCCTCCTCTTCTCTCCACACTCTGATTGGCTTGATCTCCCCCGTCACACCTTCTTCCCATGCTGCATTAGCCAATCAGATCCACCGCTCCCATTGAAAGCGTGTATGATTGGCTGGCTGGCCTGTGATGCTGCTGCCTCTCTTTAAGAAGCAGTCTAGACTGCAGTGACAGGTTTTTCAATGAGAATCGAGCTGCTGTTGTCCTGCAACACGTCTGACTTTCATCTGGCAATTCCTTGTACTACATTTTACAGAACATTGTGATCTTTTCTTTGTCTGAATCCATTCACCGGTCTCATTGCTCCTCTTTCACTGTCATAAGTCAACACATCAGCTGGGCATTTTCCCATCATTTCATTCATGATCCCTCACGTTTAATCTGCTCATCTCCCATTTTTCCAATTATTTTCCGACCCCACTTTACAAAAAAGAGGGAAATCTCTGAGCACTGCATAGCCTGAAGGTGAGTACACTTGATTAGAGCTTAGAGTGCTGCAGTCATTACAGATGCATTTTACTGCACTCTCTCCTTTCTTCTTGTGTCGTGTCTAATGCAACAGGTTCTGTATGTACCTCATATATTGGACAGGGCATGTCATTGTCAAGGGGAATGCTTTGTAAAAACTTGCCAGAATACATAATATCAGTATTATTATGCATAAAAGGACCCCACACATCTCTCTTCCTGTGTTTAGCAATCAAAGTATCAGCTGAATGCTTTTAATATTCAGATTAGTTAGTATTATGGTGATATTCTTCTCCCAGTGCTTGTTTTTTGCCTTAGGGGTTTATAGTGTTGAATATCCCATAGTGTCATAACTTGAATTTTATGGAAATTTTTGTTACATCCATGTAAAGCTATTAAATGCATAATGAACATTTGAGCCTAGAGGGTTTAATTGAGTTTTCGCACCCTACGGTGTATGAAATGTATCCTTGGCAATTTAAGTTTGTGTATATATTTTATGTTGTTGCTGTTTATGTATGGGCCCTTAAAGGGACAGTTCACCCAAAAATATACATTCTGTCATCATTTACTCACCCTTATGTTGATTCAAATCTGTATGACTGACTTTCTTCTGTGGAACTCGATTGGGTTTTAGTGGTAACCAACACTTAATAGCAGAAGAAAGGTAAGGGTAAGAAAATGATGACAGAATCTTAATTTTTGGATGAACGGTTCTTTTAAGTATGTCTTGAAATGTAGCTGTGATTTTTGTTCCAAACTGAGAGTGAATTTCTCACATTTAAAACGAAGTCAAACATATAAATGAATCTTGAAATAATAATGCAGATTATTGTTGATATCAGTTTAATCTCTCTGAATAAGGTGATTGTTTTCTCCTAACAGGAATCAGTTCAACAATAGTATGAAAAATGGGCTTTGACAAGAGCTGCCGGCAAATGAATCGCTAAAGCTGTTACACAGATTGCTAAAGAGCTGAAGGGCCAAAAACCAATAGACCTCAAATTTCCGAGAGCAGCAGAAGCGTCTAATTTCATCCAAATTGTCTCAGCTTATCGCCCTGTCCTGATGTCACATGGCTTTATCAGTATTTTGGCTTTGCATCAGTTTTCCCAAAATGTGTCGTAACCATTATTAGTTCTCAAAGGCAGACCTCTTTAAAATCCAGTGCTGCTATTTAGTATGCATGAGACATTTATATCTCAAAAGTGCTTTATTTCCCGAAAAACCAACAGGCATTGCTTGAATGTGTTATAACATCTCCTTTAGAAGTTGATCGACGTGTGTGTGTATATAAAACGTATACACTACCGTTTAAAAGTTGGGAGCCTGTCCAATTTTTTTTAAATGGTTTTTGAAAGACATTTCTTATGCCTACCAAGGCTGCATTAATTTAACCAAAATACAGCAAAATAGTAACATTGTGAGATTATTACAATTTAAAAGTGCTATTTTAATGTATTTTAAAATGTAATTTATTCCCGTGATGGCAAATCTGAATTTTCTTTCTATTAACACTAGTTAAAGCAGTTGTACTGCTTAATTTTATTTTGTGGAAATCTTGACATTTTTTAAGGATTCTTTGATAAATTTAAAGTTTAAAATAACATTTATTTGAAATTATTTGTAACACTATTAATCTTTACTGACATTTGTCCTGGGGCTTAATGTTGTACTTGTCACACTCTTTATACAGGTACATCTCAGGTTATTTTTATTTAAAGGTGAAGTATGTCATTTCTGCACCCAATTGAATTGCAAAAATAAGGACAGTTTCAGACATTATGCCCTCCTTTCTGTCACGTTTAAACCAAGGGTGACTTAAAACATAACCATGACTACTATACAGACTATCCTTTTTGACAAAGTCAACAACCATGTGATGTTTGATACATGAGGTGTTGACGTTCACGTGACTCTTGCACAATCAGTACCTTGAGCATATATTAGTCTGGCTTTCCCACTGTTTACATTTAATTCCCTTTAAACAACAGGCTTAGTGAAGTAGAAGAATGTGCCGTTGTCCCCCCTCCGAGTTGACTTCTGTATCACTGAGCAGTGATTTTCACCCTCTGCATTGCAGGTTTGGCCTGTGGTGAGGACGCTCTGTAATTTTACAGGTGATGGTTTTGACATCACTATACGGTCGTATACTGTGTCTTTGTAATGCTTTAAAGTCCATTCAGTCATCAGCTGTTGACTGATGCTCTAAATACCGTACTGTCCCAGTGTCCCCCTGTGGTGTGGGATCAGTCGTTCCGATAAACAGGACTGATCAGATTTCACTGAGCACATAGTGGCCCATTTACAGACCTGCCGTTTTCCAGTGAATTTGACCCACTAAGATTCTTAGAGTGGGGAAAGCAGGAAGCAAGGAGGCTATAAGCGGGTATTAGGGGCTGCGACTCTGCAGTGTTGCACAGTGCAGCTGGAGCACGACTCGCTGTACTGCTTCGGCTCAGTGGGAGACTCAAACCTGAAACCAAGCCAAGAAGCCGAGAGGAGGTGTGAAGCAGGAGTGATTGTTTTGTGGTGCTTACTGCGCTGTTACATTCTGTTATGGATGTGCACTGGGTTAGTCACGTTGTGTCCTGGTCACTCCTGAACGCTTCGCCCTTGGTGTCATAGTGTAAGGTGGCCAGTTAATGTAAGTGCTCAAGTGTTTTTTGTCTATTTTGTGTAATGCTATTTGTTTATTTCAAACCTTTATTTTTTTTAAATCATTATATTGTGCACTTGAATTAAATAGAGCAACTTTTCATACTAGTTAAATTGTAAAATACAAACAAATGTCTATATCCCACCTCCTAAAAATGCTGGTTTTGGCCTGTCTCACTTCAAAGTTCTTGACTTTTCCGACTCTATCCAACGATTAAAGTCATACAGTGACGTCATATTATCGTCATAATCTTACCATAATCTGTTGAAATATTCATTTCATTGTAGTCAAACAAATTTGTGATTATTAATCCTGTTACCACATGATTTTCCCCCCTTTTCCAAACAATGTAACATTCTTCTGCTACAGTTTTATTTGGACTCTTTTACAGCATGGCAGGAAGACGAGTTTGTCAAGGTGTCAAGTTTGTCATGTTCAACCTTCAGCCCTGTTACTTAAGTTATTGTGCGGGGGAAAAATATTAAATAAATATTTTTCTTAGTTTTTTGGAAAGTGACTACTAACCAACATTTAGTTCTTAGCTAGCTAGCCCTTCCTGAGTGGCTAATCTTCAACCCTGTTGCTCATTTCTTGTTTATTTTTTATTTTTTTAAATTAAGAATGTTTGTGAATTCATTTGTTATTTTTTACTAGGACAAAGCACAGAAGCAGTGTTTTAAGCTGTATTTAGATGTGTCCTAAAGGTTGAGTTCTTAAGGTTTATAATAACCATTTTCTGAAGACTTTTTGGCCATTTGTTGAAGTTTATTGTTGTTGTTTTTAACTTTATTTTGTGCTGTTTATGTGAAAAGTTATGTTTTTGTAAAAATTAACAAAAATATTTTTTTCTTAAATTGATAGAAAATGAATACAAACCTGCATATAGTTTTCAACCCTGTTACTCATTCAGCCATTTTTTTCTTCATTTTTTTAAATATAGATTTTTGTCATTTATTACTGATGTTTATTACTAGAAGAAAAAAAACACAGGATCAGTGTTTTCAACAGTAGACCTATTTAGATCCCAGTGTTTGATTTCTTGAAGTTGATAATCAACATTGTCAGAAGGATAAGCACCTCCTTTTATTGACCGTTTGTTGTTTTCTGTTGAGTTTCTAGCTCCCCAATCCTGTATTTTAATTATTTTATTTTCCCAGCTTTAATGTTCCTTGACGTCACCAACACCTGTCTCTCCAACTTTTCCATTTCCCATGGTCTTTTAGGCTACGTTATGCGATCTATAAGGAAGGCTCAAATACTGTCTAATGATGTCCTTGTCTCTCTTGTTTTGACAGCTGAAGGCATCTTTGTGGACAGGACACTTAGAGGGCCAAACAATGGAATGCTCTCTCCTGCCTACACTGCTCAGCACTCTACAGACTGAGGTTAAACGGTTTAGTTAGCAGTGTGCCTCTCCCCCAAGAACTCTTTTAGCCTGGGGAAAGTTGGGAGAAAAAACGGGCTAAGGAGAATTTCCTTCATAGTACAGCACCTTACCAGTTCTTTGTAGTTGCTTGCTTGGGATTCATTTGGAAGCTTTGCGTGAACAAAAGCCAAGATGGATTTGGAACCGTACCTGTGGATGGTTGTGCTTGGCTTCATTATAGCCTTCATCCTGGCATTTTCAGTGGGGGCCAATGATGTGGCAAACTCGTTTGGCACGGCGGTCGGGTCAGGGGTGGTGACACTACGTCAGGCCTGCATCCTGGCTTCCATATTTGAGACCCTTGGCTCCATGCTCCTCGGTGCCAAGGTTGGGGAAACCATTCGGAAGGGAATTATAGATGTCAGTTTATACAATGACACAGTGCCGATACTGATGGCGGGAGAGGTCAGTGCCATGGTCGGTAAGTAATGGCTCATTTAAAGTCGAAACCTCAATGTTTCATTTTGAAGATTAATGATGGAGAAGCTTAGCGAGGCATTCGTTTATTCACTGTAGGCTGTCAGATTTGTAATAGAGTATGTTAGCTGAAGTCTGAGTTTAAAAATTCACTTTTAGAGTAAAAAATGTAAATAAAAAAAAATTGAATTCAAAGAACTGCATGGATGGTTTAAAAAAAAAACGTTATGCAGTTGTTGTTGTTTTTAACATCACTGGGTTTTGAATGGCTACATTGTAATATTTTTAATAGTGTCCCGTCTAGAGTCTGTATTGAAGACAGAAGGGAAAAGAACATATGGCTGGAAGACTTTTTTTTTGGTTGCTCCACCTCCCACTCATATTCCTGTCTTTTTCAGGGTCTGCGGTTTGGCAGCTCATTGCCTCTTTTCTGAAGTTGCCCATTTCTGGAACTCATTGCATTGTGGGATCTACTATTGGCTTCTCCATGGTTGCTATTGGCACTAAAGGAGTGCAGTGGATGCAGTTAGTCAAAATTGGTAAGAAAAAAATCCATTATGCAATTCATTATTTATTTTACTGTGGTAGTTATTTGCACACCAGAAAATTGAAAAACTTTTTTAAACGCTTTGAAGCTAAAGGTCAGCCTTTTACTGAATGTTTCTGTTTAATTCATTTTTAATGTCCTGTGTCCTAATTAATGTTCCACTACTGTTCAAAAGTTTGGCATCAGTAAGAGAGAGAAATTCTTTTATTCTGCAAGGGTGCATTAAATGGATCAAAAGTGATAGTAAGGGCATGTATAATGTTGCAAAAGACTTTCAATTAAAAATACTGTTATTTTGAGCTATATATTCATCAAAACAAAAAATTGTCACAAACATATTAAGCAACAAAACTGTTTTCAACACTGATAATAAATGTTTCTTGAACACCAAATCAGCTTATTAGAATGATTTCTGGAGGATCATGAGACACTGAAGACTGAAAATTCAGCTTTGCCATCAAAGGAATAAATTGCATTTTAAAATACATTCAAATAGAACGCGATTATTTTTAATTGGAATAATATTACACAGTATTTTGTTTTTATTGTATTTTTAATCAAATAAATGCAGCCTTGGTGAGCAAAAGAAACTTCTCTCAAAAACATTTAAAAAATCTTACCAACCCCAAGCATTTGAATGTATTGTTTCTCTGGAGTGACATTATCTCATTTTTGTTGTCGATATACTTGTAACAGAGATGTGTAATTTGTTTAACGTTGCCTGTTGGCCTTTGTGCCTCTAGCAGCATTATGCGTCATTATATTGGCACCCTATTGATTTAGTAATTGCTGTTTATTTGATGCAGTTGCCTCATGGTTCATCTCCCCTCTGCTGTCTGGTCTCATGTCTGGTCTGCTTTTCTTCATCATCAGATATTTCATTCTTAACAAGGTGAGTCATGGGTCGACTATTACACTTTTCTTTCATCACCTTATTTCAGTGATCTCGCGTCGACAAATTTTGACATCAAAATGGGAGAGAAAAAAAACAGATCAAAGTGCTAAGATAGGCTTTAAGTGTTTTGCGCTTTTGATTCAGACATCCAATATAAACATCCAAGAGACATTCTCCCAGTCCTTTAGTATACCAGTCCATCACCGGTCCTTATAAGACCTCACATGTTCCCATTATATTTACTGTTTAACTTGCATTCAGCTATTTCCAAGTAACTGTGCCTGTGGCTGTGTTTATATTGCATGACAATAGCTCATCTGTGATGGCACAGCAACCGCTGTACAGTCGACAGCAATTCATCTTTTAAATGTGTGCCTGGTGTAGACTCTGCTTCTGTAAACACTTAAATATTTAAGCCTTAAAGAGTTAGGAACAGCAAAATGCATTCTTACCTGTGGCCACGTAAGCACTGACTGTGGTTTAAAGGAACAGTTCACTTAGAAACGAAAATTCATCTTTTACTCTCCCAAAGCTGTGTGGCTTTATGTCTTCAGTGAAAAACAGTAGGAGATGCTTAGCAGAATGTCCAAGCAGCTATTTTTTGTATAATGAAAGTAAAAGGCAATATATACAGTAATGTCAGGCTCCCAAAAGGATGACAAATGATAAAACAATAACAAAACATAAACGTTGTCCATACTTCTTGCGTGCTATATTCCAAGTCTTCTGAAGCCATATAATTGCTTTGTGCCTGAATATACAGAAATTAGTGGTCAAATTGATTAATCGCGATTAATCGCATACAAAATAAAAGTTTGTGTTTACAGAATATATGTGTGTGTGTGCTGTACCTTATATGTATTAAAGAAATATTTAAGTTTTTTTTATGTATGTTACACTGAACGTTTTCTGCTCTGCAAAGCTCTAAAATAGACAGCTTTTTGTGTCATTTTGGAGCTTAACCCAGCTTTTGACTTTGTGGAAAAGAGCAGCTTGGACATTCAGCCTAATATCTCTTTTTGTGTTTCACAATTAAAACAGGTTTGGAATGATATGAGGATGAATAAATTATAATCAAATGTTATTTTGGAGGGTAAACTATCCCTTTAAGAGAGCATTTAACCTAAATCAGTGTTGTTACTGCTAAAACTTAAATGAAAATCAGAAATATTGCCTTAGCAACTAATTGGATTAAATTAAAGCTGAAGTACTAAAATGACTAAAAAGAAAAAAAAGCTGAACAGCAATATTAAAAATTTGATTTAAAAAAATTTGATGAAATATTTAACACAAAATCACTAAAACTTTGAAATTAAAATGAACATTGGAAATATAAAAATAAAAGCTCATTCAAAATATTAATAAATACTAAAATTATATATAAATAAATCTAAAATAACACTGATATGTGCTATGGCTAAATTATAACCAACAATTTGTCATTTTTATGCTGCAAAATACTGCATTTACTAAAGAATAAATGTAACATTGGATGTGTTTTGTCCTTATTCATGACGTCTGTGTGGTATATACAGTACAGAGTTTAAGCTCTTTCTGTGATCTGTCCATTACAGGATGACCCTGTTCCCAATGGTCTCCGTGCTTTGCCCCTCTTCTATGCATCAACCATCGGAATCAACACATTCTCCATCATGTACACTGGAGCTCCCTGTAAGACTATTTTGAATTGATAACACATTCAGCCAAGAGACGTCCTTGATCAGACACGAGTTTGTTGTCACTGAATAAGTGTCATTGAATAGGCTATGTGTACAATACTGTTTTAAGATTTTCCATCTAAAATACCTTTTGTTTCAAGATAAATTCACTGGATTGTTTTTAAATCTCACAGTAAAGTGTATTTATGTGTGTGACCGTGTCACACTCTTTCTTTATTGTGCAGTACTGGGCTTGGAGATGCTCCCCGTCTGGGCTATTGCCCTCATTACCTTGGCTGGTGCTCTGGTATGTGCCGGTGTGGTCTGGATTTTGGTTTGCCCCTGGATGAGAAGGAAAATAGCAAGTATGTACTGTCCTTTTCCCTCCCGCAGACTCGTGACTTTAGGTGTTATTAATGTCTGCATTAGATCTCTGTGTAACGTTTATCCTAAATTTTCTATTTCTTTTTCCAATAAGGAATCAATTATCTGAGGACAGTTGTGATTACTAACTAAATTTGCAGAAATTGTGTGATCCATGTGTTTTTGCACTTGACATCTGGCCATTAAGTTAAATGTTATTTCTAATCTAGCTTTGGAAAAAAATCAAAGATGTGACTCAGCATGAGGCATCTTCACCAGCTCAGGAGGGGAAGGATTTGCCTAACATCTGCTGCTCTGCTCTGCTGGGGCGCTCTGTAATGTAAAGGCTATCTTTTGCTGGCTCTGGCTTGTGGGCCCATGTTGTGTTCGACTGACGCTGAGAGAAATGAAAAGCAAATAAACTGAAGCTGTTTATTTGAGAACATCACTGTTTTTTCAGATGAGTCTCACGGACCTTGTGCAGTCGATGCACCTTTCTCAGTGCAAGATTGGCTGCCCACGTGTTTTGATTGAGAGAAGTGTCTTAATGAAATGAATCACTAATGAAATGAAATGTTAAAGCACTGCTTTCACTCACGGATCAGCGCTTTAAATTGTTGCATGCTTTATTAAATTTGTTTTCAGATCAAGGGTCTATTTCATTGTGCAGTTTCCCATGGGAGACGGTACAGTTGTAGGAATCTGATTTATTTATTTGGCTTTTAGGCTATTGAGAAGGGTCAGTTCTGTGAGTAAAGCTGAAATTAGCATTAAATATGTGGGGCACTAATTTAAAGTGCTTGTTGTTGTTCATTATCACTGCTCGATTTAAAAGAGCCAGTTGTAATCATACTGATATCACAGTTTTTCACGCATGGATTATCCATGTTTATTAGTGATTATGTTTGCTTGATTATATTATTCTCACTGTAATATTTTTAATGCTGCTTTTAATTTTCAGCTTTTCACCAGTTTCACAAAGCTTGCCAACTTCCCCTCATCTCGGCAAATAACATTTATGTTGATTAGGGATGCACTGATATGAAAATTTTAGCCTATACCAATAAGTGAAAATTCTGTATTATTTTGTTCAAAAGGCCACTACCATTCCATGTTTGGGGTAGTGTTTTTTATTTTTTTTCTTGTAGAAAGAAATTAATACTATTATTCAGCGAGGATGCATTAAATTGATTAAAAATGAAAGTAAAGACATTTGTAATGCTACAAAAGATTTTTATATCGCATGAATACTGTTTTTTTTTTTACAACTTTCTACTCATCAAAAAACCCTAAAAAAATCGATTCACAGTTTCCACCAAAATATTATTAAGCAGCACCACTGTTTTCAACAAAATTATAAAATATAAAATGTTTGATCACATGTTTGATGAGCATCAAATCAGCATACTAGAATGATTTCTGAAGGATCATGTGACCCTGAAGAATGGAGTAATGATGCTGAAAATGCAGATTTGCATCACAGGAATAAATTACATTTTATAATATATTCAAATAGAAAACAGTTATTTTAAATTGTAATATTTTACAATATTACGGTTTTACTGTACTTTTAATCAAGTAAATGCAGCCTTGATGAGCATTAAAATGTTTCTTAAAAGCATTGAAAACCTTGCCCAAAAGACCCCAAACTATTGAACTGTAGTTTAAATTTAAAATTAAACCCTAAAAACTAAAACCAGTCATTGCTAATTGAGGTGCATTAGTTTATTTGATCAAAATGAATTAAAAAAATTGAATGATAACATTATAATGTCCAATATGAGAAATTTATATTTAATTTGCTAAAGATTAGATTTAAAAGTGTTATTACATTTTATTGCTTTTAAAGATTAACTTTGAGACCATTAGATTACTGCAAAGGTAAAATAATGTAAAAATGTAAAGAATACTGGAAATAAGATGATGCACAATTAAATATCCAATATGGACTGATATAACAAAACAAAAAAAATCAAATCAAATATTGGCCAATAACCAATATGATACTGAAAATATCATGCGTCCCTATTATTGATATCTAATATATGACTTTCAATTCAATGGTTTCCTACTTTTTTTCCCCAAAACAGGTCGGCTGAAGAAAGAGCATGCTCTTTCCCGCATCTCTGATGAGAGTTTGGATAAAATCCCTGAGGAGGAAGAGGAAGCCCCCGTGTTTAAAGAGCTTCCAGGTGCAAAAAGCAGCAACGATGCTGTGCTGCCCCTGACAGAGGAGTCCACAGGAGAGCTGAACAGCCTGGCTAATGGAGGCACCGTCCTGCCCAACGGCAGAGTGTATGGTACGTTAAAGGACTTGTTTTGTTTTAAATGGATACCATCTGACCAGAATGTCCTACGCTGACCTCATGTGTTTATTTAATTTTTTTCTATCAGGTCGCACTAACTCCATGACCAACGGCTGCCTCAAGTCACCCGTGTCCAATGGGGGCTTCAGCTTTGACGGACACATGCGCAGCGATGGCCAGGTCTATCACACCGTTCACAAGGATTCTGGTCTCTACAAGGACCTCCTACACAAGATCCACCTGGGCCGCCTGGAAGACGAGCGCAGCAGCTCGCGTCCCGACAACAGCTACCGTCACCTCCGCCGCAACAACAGCTATACATGTTACACAGCAGCCATCTGTGGCATGCCGGTGCAGCCCCTGATGCGGTCGGAGTCCAGCGCCCCTCCTCCAGAGGACAGCGAGAAGCTAGTGGGCGACACTGTCTTCTATTCGAAGAAGCGATTGCGCTATGACAGCTATTCCAGCTACTGTAACGCGGTTGCGGAGGCTGAGATTGAAGCGGATGAAGGTGACGTGGATGTGAAGTTGGCAGCAGATCAAAGGGAGCCCCGGGCCCCTGCTGAAGCGGTGCTGGAGGACTGCGTTGATGAGGACAAGGAGGAGAAGGACAAGCCGCAAGTCTTCCTGCTCTTCCACTTCCTGCAAATCCTCACCGCCTGTTTCGGATCGTTTGCACATGGTGGGAATGATGTCAGGTATGCCACTTTATTTGTTCGTCTTTGTTTGTTTCTAAACCCAGATTCTTTTTCCTATGACAGGTATTTTTTTTATGTGCAAGTGTTTAAGTATGCTTTTGAGAACCTTTAGTATTTTCTGTTTTAGCATTTTTACTTTTTAGCATGCTTTGTAATTATCGAGTTTAGAATAAGACATACTGTATTATTTGCAGCATTTTTTCACATTCCACAGCATTAGTGTGTCCTGAGAACAAGCCCTCAGTTCAGTGCCACGGATCTGGTTCACGGCTCTAGAGATGATTTGGCACATAACCAGACTTCTAAGACTGTTAAGACCAAAGTGAGATGTGTCCATTAGTTTAGGCTAACTTCAGCTGCTTAATGCTTAACAGTTAAAATCTTTAAATTGGTTTTGTTGGTGACATAATTTGATTATTGTTTGTATTTTGTGTGAAGTGTAAACAAAATGCAAAATTCTCCCTCTCCTTCTCATTCTCTGATTTATACACTCAAAAGTTTGGGGTCAGTAAGATGTATTTTTTAAAGAAATTAATGCTTTTATTTAAAAAAAAAGTTGCATTAAATTGATCAAAAGTGGCAGTAAAGACAAATAAAATAAAAATAAGTAAAAAAAGACAAAAGATTTCCATTTTAAATAAATGCTGTTCTTTTCAACTATTCTTTTTTTTATTTAAGAATCCTGAAAAAATTGATCATGATTTTCACAAGAATATTAAAGTGCACAACTGTTTTCAACATTGATAAAAATAAGAAAGGTTTCTCAAGCATCAAATCAGAATATTAGAATGATTTCTGAAGAATCATGTGACACTGAAGACTGGAGTGAAACTTCAGCTTTGCCATCAGAGGAAGTTATCTTTTCATAATCATGATACATTTTGGGGTGAAGTTAAAGTGATATGTTGATTTAAAGACCACATGGCTTCATCCCTAGTATACACTTTATATCATAACCTTATTGTAGTCACTTCCCCTGTGAACATGCTTGTTTTTATCTTTTCTGCAGTAATGCAATTGGTCCTTTGGTGGCCCTGTGGATGATTTACGACCAGGGTGGGGTGATGCAGGATGCAGCCACACCGGTCTGGCTGCTATTATATGGCGGCATCGGAATCTGTGCTGGACTGTGGGTTTGGGGTCGACGTGTCATTCAAACAATGGGCAAAGACCTCACACCCATCACCCCCTCCAGGTGAGATCAGCCTATTGGCGGAGAGCATGTTGTTTGTGCATGATAATTGATGCATGTGCTCCTGTTGCATGCAGATGTGATGATTAATCCACAGTAAGAAGTCTTCTTAAGCCCAATGCACATGTACACTGTACAATTTTGGCAATAATTGTGAATCTCACTGGCATTATATCATTCAATCTAACGAGCAGCAATTGAAAAAGCCAGAAAAATTGCACAGTGTACAGTGGGCTTAGGATAAGTGGCCTTTTACTGTAAACCCATGACAAAAACACACACAATTTTTCTCCTTGTTTATTTCTGACAATACAGAAGGTGTCTTTCTTTTCCTGTAGCAAGTGGAAAATTGTAGAAGTGGAGGACCAGTTTTTGGTGTAAAAACTGACAGAACTGAAACCTTCAACTTGGTCCTACACCAGTGCTGAGGTGTAATTGTAGACTACAGAAACACGGAGCATGTGCTTTGGCAGCAGGGTTATAACAGTTTATCTGATATTGAAATCTTGCTAGATTAGTTCAGTTTATCGGCTTTTCTCCTCTCTCGTTTGGGTGCTTGCCCTCAATCCCCGTTTGTATTACCACCACAAATCGGGTTAAATATCACCGTAGAATGACCTTAATTTAAAATTTTAGCACACTTTAGAATAAAGGCAGTTTTTAGAGCCCGGTCACTGTTTTGCACTCTCAGCTCAGAACTGCCTGGGTTTGCTAAATTTAGCAAGACACTTGTGCACACGGCCTCAGCGACCTTGCGTTCTCTTAGTAACAAGACAAACTGTCAAAAACAAATGAGCTTGAGTTGATAATCAGAACAAAGGCTTTCCACCCTATAAAAAGAAGTCTCGTCATTTGTTCTGAGAAAGCGAGCTGCAGATAATTTTTTTAGGGATGCTTGTTAGGAAATCATGATTACTAAACACTGATACACTGAAACGTAACTGGACACAACTCCAAAAATCCAAAACCAAAATTATTTTAAGTGAGCCTTTGAAATAACCAAGCAAATGATTTTAGTGTGATTAATATGTTTCTGTTGATGTCTAAGCTCCAAAATTGTATAATTCTTTTTAAATATTGAACTTAGAAATTATTATAATAGTGAATTATTGTTTATCAATGTGAATCTCACCCCACACAGACTTTTAAGTGGGAACATGACTTTTTTTACCGTCAATAATTAATTCATCATCACTTAAACTTTCTCTGGATTCTATTAAACCTGGCACAGTTTTTTTTTCCATGTAATGTATATGTAAATAGATGGTAAAGTAACAGATACATTTGAAGTTGTGCAAAAAATCTTATTGGCTTACATTGTACTATAACTACCCAGAACAGTGTATTATAGTGGCAAATCAGAAAATTTAAAATTATAGTAATAGTGTAGTTTAAAAAAAAAAAAAAACTCAAACTTTAACAAAAATGAAAAATCATGAAAGTTAATTGGATTGTTATTGTTTTAATTTTTTCTAAAGACAGACTTTTAACAAGAAAATAATTTTTATTTACTGGAACAATCTGCAATTTCTCGATGTGTGTGACTGAGCAGATTTCGCACTGAAGGGTCACTCTACAATCCTGCATGTCAATCAGTCTGTACTAAGTAAGTGTGCTGCATCAGGTGGCCATGTTCCCAGTCACATGCCCTCATATAGCGCACTGAAATAACAATCGACATAACCTCTGTATTTTTTGGCTGATTTGCAGTATAAGGTATATATCTCGGTATTTTGTATTTGGGTTAAACAAACAAATAAAGTGAATGTAACCATGTAGGCATATATTATGTGCAAAAAAGGGTTAAAATCACATTACATTCTAACATTGTAACATTGCAATCTAAAAACAAAAATAATGCTTTTAAAGCAGAAGTTAAATTTACTTAAACTAAAAATGAAAATAATAAAAAAGCACAGACTAATTGAGTAAAAAGGCTATTTTGATTTCCCCATTAGAGTCACTTTACAGTTAGTGCTATGATACAAATACACTTGTAGGTTTAAAATTCTACATATGCCACATTTATTGTCCAACTACAAATATTTTAGTCAGAGTTATTGCGCTCCTATTTCATTGAGCTCCGTCTGTTTGGCGCGCATGCGCACAGCAGCACTCGTTCACTGAAATCTGTGAAGTTTAGCGGAGAATCACAAAAGCTCATGCACTTCTGACTGCAAAATGGAAATATTTCCATGGCTTTCTAACATTTACAGATGGAGAATATACCTGTGAAATGTAAGTTATGCATTATGAAAACAGCACATCTCAGACACATGAAACAGTGCGAGTAGCGTCTCTGTCAGCAGCACACGCAGCCTTTCTGTCAGAGCATCTGACGGGCCGCGCTGCTTTAAACTCAAACTATAAACTATAGGCTACTATATCTTACCGTTTTTTAAAGCCCTTCATATAAAGCTTGTCGCATGTTCAGAACAAATTGTATTATGCACTTTCTCCGCAGCAGCTCCATCTGTGTCCTCCCTAGATAATTTTTCAGATGTGCTCGTATCAAACTACTTTATATCGATATTAACGGTATTGCTTCATATCGTATCGCTTATAAAAATATATCGATATATTATACAAACGCGATATACCGCCCAGCCCTAAAACTGGCTTTTTAGATGGGTTTGCATGATTTAGTGGAAGGTTTGTCTGTCTGTTTGTGCACAGTGCATATGTTACTCGCATGTTCATGATGTCTGTGTGTGTTTTAAGATGCCACAGGAGAGTTTTTCAGCACAATCACCATGTTTCCACCTGCATGCATGTACACGTGTCTACCCTGTGATACACACTCACACGCACGTACTGACACACTTAATAGGCACAGAACTCAAGAAAACCTGTCAACCTTGTTTTTGTGTTACTGTACCACCTTCATCTCCTTGTGGACTTTTTGCATGCCTGTTAAATTGTTTCCTCTCCTCCAGACCGGCATGCTGTACGTGCACCAGCCTCTCTCAACGGCATGCATTGTCATTATTGGTTGAACTACAGGTGTAACTGTATAAAGTTGTGTTTTGTTGCCCTCCCCCCACAGTGGATTCACTATTGAGCTGGCCTCAGCGATCACTGTTGTTTTGGCGTCCAATATCGGACTTCCAATCAGTACGACACACTGCAAGGTAACTATCGGGTCAGAGCCCAGCTGGCCCCCTTAGGTTATTGTGTGCATGCCACCAGAGAGAGGAGGGAGCCGTCTGTTTTTACAGGGAACGAGAGGTGCCCACGTCAGCTTTCAGCAAATGATGCTATTTGTTATTGATAAATAATGACATTGATGCACAACAACTTGACACTTTCCACAAATAGGGTGCTGTCCTATTACAATAAACAGACAAATCTCATGTTCTACTCTATTGTTTCTCATAGAGTCAAATGTCTGACAGGTATTTTGATGTGTCCTGTCTTGCTGGTCTCCTTGCCTAGACCTTGACTGTAATTAACAATTAAACTCATACAAACAAATGATATAATTTTATAAGTATAAATTAACTGTAGAAAAATCTTAATTGCTACAAAAATGTTTAGACAAGTAAACAGTCTCTCATTAATTTTCTACATTTTTATTGTTGTCCAGCTCAACCATTCTATCCAGTTACCAAAGTTAAGGTATAAGAATTTTAAGTTAATTAAGTAGAATTTTTCAATATTTCAGTTTATGTAAAAAATTTAAAAAATAAAAATAAAAATAAAAAGTTTTTTTTTTTAAAGTTTATTAATAACCATTGTTGTTATTTTAACTAAAACTTTTCAAAAAGTATTTTTGTTAATTGAAATAAAGCTGAAATAAAATAAGTATTAGATAAAAAAAAACTGAGAAATGTTGCCTTGGCAAATAACTGAAAATATATTTAAGTTGAAACTAAAACTAAAGTAAAAATGAAAGGTAAATATGAAAAAAAAAACTAATAAAAAAATTCTAGAAGTGCATAAAAAATTGAAAAAATATTAATAATTTAATATTATTTTGAAATGTTACATTTCTATTTAATGAAGTTAAATACAGAATTATTACATAATATTAGTTGTATTAAACAAATTATTAATTTTTATTGTTAAAAAATAGGGGAATCACATAAATCAGGTTTATTATGTTAGATATAATTTAGACAAAATTAACATTTTAGTAATAGGGTTGAAAAAAAATCCAAACCTCACATAACAAATAGAAAACAAAGCATATCATAAAAAGCTGTTTAAAGTGCATGAGCAACGTTTCCCTTTTTTCTGAAATTGATAATGACATTTGATGTTGTTTTTTTAATCAAGATTACTCTGGCAGGCATCCTTGATTATCTGTTCTCAGACATCCAGTTACTGACGTCATTGGCATTGTCACTGTTTCTGATGGTCATAATGCAACTTGACTGCACACTGATGTCAATCCTGGGACAATGAATGCTCTCATCAAGGCTAAGACAGCACTCTCAAACCCTTTAGAAATGAAGATGAGCGCTCCCTTCTCTTCTCTCAGACGTGGCATTGGTGCATACAGGATGAAATAACTCTCTTCTCTTCACAGATCTGTGTTTAAGTGATGCTTCACTACATCATCTTCGTCCCCCTCCTCATCTATCTCATAGCATGTAGCTGTGTATTTGTCCGCGTTTGCTTGGGCCACTGGTGTCTTGCTCCATGCTATGTGTGTCTCTTACGTTTTATCTGTTGTGTTTGTCTTTGTCTTGTCATTTGTCGTCTTTTCACAGTGGATTTTGCATTGAAGTAATGAGCGCTCTAACAGTGCTCGTTGCCTCAAATGTGGGCGTTCCTATAAGCTCCACCCACTGCAAGGTATTTGTATAGTAGTGAAGCTTTGGTAGTGCTAAACTCCACTCCCATAGCTTCACTAGCGTAATCACCGAACAGCCAATCAGTGCTCACCTCTGCAAACATGTAACTCCATGATTGCAGCTTTGATTCACTTATATGATTCATTCTTTTTTCATCTGCTTAGTTGTTTTAAAGATAATGCATTAATTGAAGTCAGTATGCTTTTAAAAGGTACTGTGTAGTGCATACATTGTAGTCCAGACGCTAAACATGTTAACCAAACCATGCCACTTGCAGTGATTCCATTTAAAAGTAGGTCATTTCTCATCATTAGCATAGGTCAACAGCCGGAACTGTTCACATTAACCTAATACTTGCAAGAAATAAGTCCAGCAACCTCATCCAGTCAGAAATCAATACAAAAGCCTGTTTACTTTTTGTCGCTACACATTCCTGGAGCACAAATGAGCTGACCTCTATTTATTCTCTATTCTCTTGCATGTGCTTTGTGATGTTTTTGTAGGGGTTTTGGGATGCTTTGTGATACAAGGGCAGTCAAAGGCTTAAAGCATGTTTGGCTTCAGATTGATACCTCATTCAACTTCATGACCTCTATTCAGATTTATAAACTTCTTGTAAAATCTTTCTAGTGCTGTAAAACCTGGATTAAGGTGAAAGGTAGAGGGCATGCGGTTCAGTTTGGTTTGTGGCTGTCAAGCTAACATGGTAATTTGGTGTGGTTTAAAAAGAATAACACAATAAAATAATGTGTATATATATGTATATGTATATATATATAATATATACAGTCATGTGAAAAAATTAGGACACCCTATTGAATTCCATGGTTTTCTACATCAGGACATAATAAAAAAAAAAATCTGGTCCTTGGCAGGGCTTACAATTTGGAAAATAAAACCTCAGATGAACAACAACACATGACATATCACACCGTGTCATTATTTATTTAACAAAAATAAAGCCAAAATGGAAAAGCCATGTGTGACAAAGTTAGGACACCCTTACTGTTAACACCGGAATTAAGAGGGTAAGCAGCAGTCAGGCTCTGCTAATCAAATACATTTGATTAACTGATCATCAGCAAGAGTGAGCACCTCTATAAAAGCAGATGTTTTGGCAGTTTGCTGGTCTGGAAACATCAGGTGTTTGTTAACACAATGTCAAAGAGGAAAGACATCAGCAATGACCTTAGAGAAGCAATTGTTACTGCCTCAGTCTGGGAAGAGCACTACGGCCATTTCCAAACAATTTGAAGTCCATCATTCTACAGTGAGGAAGATTATTCACAAGTGGAAGATATTCAAAAAAGACACCAATCCTCCCAGGAGTGGACGTCTCAGAAAATTCACCCCAAGATTAGACCATGTAAAGCTCAAAGAAATGACAGACAACCCAAGAACTTCACCGCAGACTCCACAGGCCTCAGTTAACATGTTCAATTATAAAATTCATGACAGTACTGTTAGAAAAATATGGGACAAGAATGTTTGGAAGGCTTGCCAGAAGAAAGCTGCTTCTACCTAAAAAAGCATGGCAGCACGGTCTAGGTTTGCAAAGTTGCATCTGAACAATCCATAAAACTTCTAGAACAATGTCCTTTGAACAGATGAGACCAGAGTAGAGATGTTTGGCCACAATGCACAGCAGCACGTTTGGTGAAAACCTAAAGAGCACATCAGCACAAACACCTCAGCACATCACACATGCTGGTGGAGGGCAGATGATTTTGGGCTTGTTTCGTAGCCACAGGGCCTGGGGGCCTCACAGTCATTGAGTCGACCATGAACTCCTCTGTATACCAAAGAATTCTAGAGTCAAATGTGAGGCCATCTGTCCGACAGCTACCTAAAAAAGCATGGCAGCACGGTTTAGGTTTGCAAAGTTGCATCTGAACAATCCATAAAACTTCTAGAACAATGTCCTTTGAACAGATGAGACCAGAGTAGAGATGTTTGGCCACAATGCACAGCAGCACGTTTGGTGAAAACCTAAAGAGCACATCAGCACAAACACCTCAGCACATCACACATGCTGGTGGAGGGCAGATGATTTTGGGCTTGTTTCGTAGCCACAGGGCCTGGGGGCCTCACAGTCATTGAGTCGACCATGAACTCCTCTGTATACCAAAGAATTCTAGAGTCAAATGTGAGGCCATCTGTCCGACAGCTAAAGTTGGGCCAGTATTGGATCATGCAACAGGACAATGATCCCAAGCACAGCAGCAGATCTACAACAGAACGGCTGAAAAGAAAAGAATCAAGGTGTTGCAACAGTCCAGTCAAAAGTCCAGACATCATCCTGACTCTGTGCAGAAACAAATGCCCACAAACCTCAATTAACTGGAGCAATGTTGTAAAGAAGAGTGGGCCAAAATTCCTCCAGAATGATGTGAGCGACTGATGAAGTCATAAAGAAAATTATTACTTCAAGTTATTACTGCTAAAAGTGGAGCTACAAGCAATTGAATCATAGGGTGTCCTAACTTTGTCACACGTGGTTTTCCATTTTGGCTTTATTTTTGTTAAATAAATAATGGCATGGTGTGATATGTCATGCGTTGTTGTTCATTGTTCATCTGAGGTTTTATGACCTGCCAAGGACCAGATAATTTTTTATTATGTCCTGATACAGAAAACCATGGAATTCAATAGGGTGTCCTAACTTTTTCTCTCATATGTGTGTGTTTATATATATATATATATATATATATATATAAAATTTGGCCCCAAACTGGCTTTTTTAATTCATTTTAGATTTTTAGTTTTCATTTTAGTTTTTTACCATTTTTTTTAGAATGTAGAATTTTAGCAATTCTACTTTAAAAAATAGAAGTGTTGGCATGGTAAGTAAAGTTTAAGTTTAGATTTTCATCGAATGTTTGTATTCTATTTTAGCTCTATTTTTTTTTAAATGAAAATATTTTTAATAGTTTTAGTTTTAAGTTAACAATAACAATGCTACTGACTGACGGCTTAGTTTAGGCTATTTTTCAACCCTGTTACCCAATAAAGCATTAAAAAAAATTTATGTTTCCTATTTTTAAGTTTTATTTTTAATCATGTTTAATTAATGTTTTTCCCATCAAAATATGGAAAGCACACAAATCAGCAAATGTTGGTAAACAGGGTTGCATTCAAGGCTTTCGTCTGCTATAATAATGTAATGTGTTTGAATTGTCTTAAATTGGGGGCTTTTGTGGGTAAATATTGATTTGATTAATTCACCTGCATATCTGCAAATAATTCATTCATAATTTTTATTCAATTGACAGCCCTAGTTTGGGTATTAGAGTTATCAGCATTACTATTGCGAGCATGTCATGTCTTTGTGTCCCAGCATCCAAAATATGGATTGGCAGGCCGTTAATGTTCAGACGAGCTTTGTCCAGTAAAGCCATTATAAAATGGGAACATTGCAGCAATGGAGGAGTCACATATTCATCAGGTTTATGTTGATTACAGCCTCAAAAAATAGATCTTGTTTGCTAAACAAACTCACAGAAAGGTCACGATGTTTGTCTTGATTTCATGGATTAGTCATGGCTCAAGCATCTTACATGATGTTTGAGTAGATCAAGGGGGTTAAATCATGGGAGAATTAAAGGCCTGAAGTCTTTTATTCTCTGTTGTTGACTTTGGGTTGGCTTTTGCTCCAGATTTAGCCCCCCTGTGATGGAGGCTTCAGTTACACTGGCCGTATAAGAAGAGCCAGATCGCTCTTGTTTCTAGAACAGCACCTGTCACCAGAACCCCTGAGTCACACAGCATGTATGGAAATGTTACTCCTCCTGCTGCCCTGTGTTAGGCAGGACATGACATGACTTTGCCTCTCAAGCAAAAGGAGAACGTGACTAATGCGGCTTTGTTAAAAGCACTGGACACTACACCTTAATTGTAAATTCTTCTTCTGTGTGCAGACAACGATGACCCAGATTTTATAAGGAAAAGAATGCTTGATTTCAAACCTTGCAGTACTTTGTGTTCTCTAACCAACCCCTACCCAGGAGTTTGCACAATTAATCAAATCCATGTATTTAGTGATTTCAGAAGAGATATTATGCTCACGACCCTATGAAATCAAAAGTTGGATATGCCTATGTCTGTTAGATGTTAGATTTGATCTATCAAATATGTTTAGTATATTCCCTAAATATTTGCAGTGGTGATTTAGAAAAATTAAGAAACGTGAATATTGCAATGATTTAAGCATTATTGGAATATATATTGCTAAAGCCATAAGATTTTTGTGACTGGCAATTTGGGAGAATGAGATCGTTAAAGCGATGGTTCGCCCAAACATGAAGTTCTGTCATCATCAGATTTAATTTAGGCTTTTTATCCATATAAAAGCTCAACGTTGCTTGCTTGCGAGAAGAAACCTCAATTTATATGTGACCCTGGACCACAAAACCAGTCATAAGAGTCAATTTTTTGAAATTGAGATTTATACATCATCTGAAAGCTGAATAAATAAGCTTTCCATTGATGTATGTTTGTTAAGATAGGACAATATTTGGCCGAGATACAAAAAAATAAATAAAATTTGAGAAAATCGCCTTTAAAGTTGTCCAAATGAAGTTCTTAGCAATGCATATTACTAATCAAAAATTAAGTTTTGATATATTTACAGTAGGAAATTTACAAAATATCTTCATAGAACATGATCTTTACTTAATATCCTAATGATTTTTGGCATAAAAGAAAAATCTATAATTTTGTCCCATACACTGTATTTTTGGCTATTGCTACAAATATACCCCAGCGACTTGAGACTGGTTTTGTGGTCCAGGGTCACACATATGAATGAACAAGCCAATTAATTAATCTCTTTAAGGCAGGTATTGTAATAGCATTTTTGTTTAACCATCATTTATAGTAAATAACCAAATATAATTTCAATCAATTGACAACATTCAATATAAATCTTAATAATCTATATCATCCAGTGCTGCTAGAAAGACCATGCCAGCCGTCCTCCTACCATCTACTGATATCAAACAGCCATGTCTGTGCCTTCAACTAAAGGCTATTGACCTTAATAAAAAAATGTCAATGTAACTTCCCGTTTCAACAGAAGATTGAAGCAGGACAGAAACCTATGCTTGTGATTTCATGGGGTCTTTAAAAAACCTTTATAGGGATAACAAAATACATTCCATAAAGATTGTATCCCTAGTTCCACCCTGAAAAATGAAATCCACATTTTGCTGTTTTCATATTTCTGTAACTTGCTACTGCTGATTTTGCCTTTGCTGTGGGTGCAGGTGGGCTCAGTGGTGGCGGTGGGCTGGATCCGCTCCAAGAAGGCTGTGGACTGGCATCTCTTCCGGAACATCTTCCTGGCCTGGTTTGTGACCGTCCCTATAGCAGGCCTCTTCAGCGCTGCTGTCATGGCCCTGTTTGTCTACGGCATACTGCCTTACGTTTGAGATGGAAAATGAGGAAGAGAGGGAGGTATAGGAAGGTAATGACGAAAAAAATAAAACCGAGACACAGACAGAAAAAAAAATAATCAAGATATAAGGGGACAGCCAGAGGGTGGGGAGAGTCTTCAAATGCTGCCTGGAAAAGCATCCAGAATCCTTTGACTTAAATATCCTTAATCTTGTCAAGAGTATTTATTTCAGTTTCATTTTTCTATTGTTTTGTTGACATGTTACCATAAACCGTAAAATCTTTGACTCGTGATTTCAAATGGTACATTTTCAAAGTTCCAAAAAATAGCTCTCATACATTTGTGGTCCTACATGTTCAAGGGAGTAAACGGATGGAGAACAATTGCCAATATCGCAAACAATATCAGTACATGAAGAATGGGACTAGAAAATTGGTTTTATGGCACAATTCACAGTACATTGGCACACAATATAGCTACTAACTACTCTTGGGCCTCTAAATGTAATGTTTTCAAATGTATCATGTGTGGTGTGCTGTAATCGCACCTTTATTCCCATTCGCTGAAACCTCAAACTTCTACATAAACGACACTGAGAAGCATCCTGCTGTTTAAAGCCTACATTAGCTGCATTGCTAAAATCATACCTCAGTCAACCCTCTATGCCACATAAAAGACAAGTGACAAAACTGTGCTCCCTCATAATACATGAAATATTATAAGATGCATCATTTTTGTAGTGGTTAATGTGTAAGAATTCCCTGTTCTTTTATTGTTGTATTTATTTTTACCATTCATACCTTTTTAAAAACACAAGAGGTGTGAAGACTAAATCATATTTTGAACTATGTATGCTACTATAATTTCTACTGTGTATATATTCAGCTATGGATTTTAGATTTTTAGTTTTGCCTCATTTCGTGGTCTTATATTTTTACATTTAAGGAGACTTTAGACCAGGTTTGGTAGTTGCATGAAACGTATGCTTTCCAAGCATATGAAAAATATCAAATATGAAAAAACTATTTTAACTATGACAAGACACTACATCCATAATCCTGTCAGCGTATATCAAAAATAATTCTCCCATTGCCTACCCTAAAAGATCCTCATATCAGTGAAAACTAAAGCATTCACTGTCATTTAAAGATATAAATATTTAATGAGCTGGTTAGGAGTCATATCTGAGGTATTACATTTGAAACTTTCTGTAATTCACCTTTTGTATACATATCAATAGGTGATTTTTTTTATTTTTTATCTCTTTTTGGAAGATTAATAGCCAAAGATTGTGATGATCAAGTTTAATTGCCGTACTCTTTGACAGTGTTTGTAATTACAATCTAAACAATATCCAAACTAAAGTAATCAGTTTGTCTCTGTATTGTGGATAGTATATAAAGGATGCTAGTAGTTCGGTCTAGCAATAATATGTAATATTCTTAGAGCCCAATGGATGATGCCAATATAAATACCTGTATGTGCCGGAACAGCCAAAATCACTTAAGGTGAACCCATAAAACCAGCACAAACACACAAACATAGATTTACCCACGTCACATATATGATGTATTGAGAGGCAGTGTTAGACGCCAGGCCTAAATCAAATCAGCATCCAGATACTTGATTCAGCCTTCAGTTCTAATATCACATTGAGTTTTATCAGAAGAGGAGTTTGTTTAACATCAGGTCAGTATGTGATTCAGTGGCACAAATGTGTCATATAACGAAAGGTCAATATGTAATGACCTATTTGTGGCCCTGCCCTGACACCACAAGAAACCAAAAAGTCTCATGATTTCAGTCCAAAAATGGCCAGGCTCACATCAAATGACCATGTGACATCAGGTCAACTGGGCTTAGATGTTTGTCAGACACTGTTGTAATCTGCCTCGGGATAGTCACCAGATTTGGAAACTGTACAAACGTGTGGCTTTGAACCGATGCAAAGTGTTGCTGTTTCTTTTTCTTTTTTTTTCTTTTTTTTTTGTGTATTTTGTTTTTATTTTTCATCAAGAACAAATCTATGCTTATATGGCCATTTGCCTTGTTGTGCTTTACTGTTTGTTGGATACAGTAACTTCAGTACTGTGGTGTTTACATTGTAATCATATTGTAGAATAACTCATTGCAGTTGCCTAAAAATGCCAATCAACTAACTATTAATCACAAATTAAATATGAAATAACCAGGCATTGTGCAAAGGTGTTTCATGTAATTTTGTGTTTAGCAGTGTGAATCACGATGATCCTGCTATATGTAGTACACAACTTTACATGGTGGATATGATAAAAAATAATAATAATAAAAGAAATTAATAGATATAAATTTCATTAAACTATATTTTTCTACATATATAAGTTCTACCTGGGTGGTGACTTCTCACATGGAGAGTAATCTGGGCTCCTGAGCAGTGATTACGTTGAAGTACCAGTAACTATATTAAGAAAATTCAGTGCTGAATACCACTGAACAATTTCTTAAAGATGGTTATATCGCAAAAGAGTCTAAAAAGTTCAGGCAGGGGACCGTAATGTGGATTGGTTCCATATATCCATTGTATTTTTTCTTGCCCAGGGATGTCTCTCCCTTGTGTGAGAGCGAGTGGTGGTGAGTTGTTAAAATTCCACCAGTTTTTCATGATTATTTTTTGAAAAGTAAGGCTGAATAACTTTGTAATTTTGTTTCCCTGAAATGCAATATTGAGCTGCCAGAATGAGGTCAATCAAACCTCCACCAGCAGTGGCGATAACACCGTTTAGAGTCAGACAGGGACACCGCAAGATTCAGTAAAACTTTTTACTAACCTGCATCCGATATTTTGCATCAACCTGGCGATATAATCTGCCTTTCTGCTACTGGTTTGTGAAATCTTCCACATGCACAGTAAAAAAAACATTCTTTGCGCTAATACACGAACGCAGACGCTTGGCGCTCTTGTTTTGGTCTCGCGCTAACAAACCTCAATATTCAGAGAGCGGTTAAATAGAATTTTTAAATGTATCTGACGTTAAACTAAATGTGTTGTTAAAACTTGTGTTAATAAATTGTCGCTGCGTCATGACAGTAGTTGATCCACAAGTAATTTACGCTATTTTGACGATGTAGCGCCCCTTGCGGCAATGCTGAGAGTTGCGTTGAATTTAGGAATCGCGTCTGCGTTCAGGTATTTGCGTAACCGAACAGGAGGCTGCAGTAGTTTGGCCACAGAGTTAGTTTTGAGTTACATATTCAAAGAATGGCATGTGAACCACTACTATACTAAATCACAGTCAGAAACTTCAAAGCCATTCTGTGTTTTTAGATGGACATGTTATGATTGGACAAATACAAAGAGATCGCTATGTAAGACTTACAGAAACTAAATCATCCATATCCACAACCAGTGTGTTGATAAAAGGTTTCTTAACTGTTCTTGGCAGCCTAGTGACATTCTCCTATAGTGTACTAATATAATTTATTAAGTTTCCTTGTTATTATCTGCACTTGAAAATAGAATGTAGCCCAATCCTCTGTTGGCCTGCTGATTGCCTGCTGTGTGTCGTCTCTATTGCCATGATGTGAATGCTATGCCGTTACTGTCTGGTACCATCTTAAGACAGGGCTTTAGTTTTAACAAAACCCCCATATCTGCATATGTACTGTATTGCTGTTTCCTTTCTTTTTGGAACTTTTTTTGTGAAAGTTGTCTGCATTTTAACTAATTAAATTATGGGAATTAAAATTACAAAGAATAACAATCTGCTGATATCCTGTTTTAATTTGGTGATTGATGTTTTAATGTTGAAGATGTGGATTTTTTTTTTCTTACAACACAGCAACCAGTGGTGCGGGTTTGGTGTGGGACTATCTGTTTGGCCAACTAGTGGAAGATGGGGGGAAATCTATAAAAAAATTTTTTTAGAAATACCCTATGCAAAGACATATTTGACAGCCATGAATAATATTTCAGACAAAAGTGTACAATGACGGGGTTATTGAGATTGAGTGGGTCAGACTAATCTATACCAAAGTTCCAGTCAACTTGAATGGGACAATACTGAAATATCTTCCGAAATTCACATTTAAATAACATACTTTAAATCAGCAACAAAATGTCCCATATACATGGTGGCCACCTTATGTGGAATGAAACATCTTTTTCTAGTCCACTGAAATGACTGGAGTCTTTATTTCATTGTGAGTGAAAACTTTAAATATGTTTATCAAAAGTGCCATTTTTTTAGCCAACATGGGAAAAAAAAATACTCGTGTTACACACTTCTATTAATTATTTAATAAATAATAAACAAAAAAATGAGGCAGACTAAATTTATTCAACGACAATGACAAAATTAAAAGATATAGCCTTCACTCTTGCTCAATGCTTTTAGTAAGTTTAGTAGCTGTCAAACAATTAATCGCATCCAAAATAAAAGTTTTTGTGTACATAATATATGTGTGTGTACTGTGTATATTTATGATGTATATATATATATATATATATATATATATATAAATACACACACATACATATATATAAGAAAAATATGTTACATTTATATGTTATATATATTTATATATGATATAATTTATATGAATATAAATATATACATGCATACATATACACATACATATATATATACATACACATACATATATATACATATACATATATATACATATACATACACTCACCGGCCACTTTATTAGGTACACCTGTTCAATTGCTTGGTAACACAAATTGCTAATCAGCCAATCACATGGCAGCAACTCAATGCATTTAGGCATCTAGATGTGGTGAAGACGACTTGCTGAAGGTCAAACCGAGCATCAGAATGGGGAAGAAAGGGGATTTAAGTGACTTTGAACGTGGAATGGTTGTTGGTGCCAGACGGGCTGGTCTGAGTATTTCAAAAACTGCTGATCTACTGGGATTTTCACGCACAACCATCTCTAGGGTTTACAGAGAATGGTCCGAAAAAGAGAAAATATCCAGTGAGCGGCAGTTGTGTGGACGAAAATGCCTTGTTGATGTCAGAGGTCAGAGGAGAATGGGCAGACTGGTTAGAGATGATAGAAAGGCAACAGTAACTCAAATAACCACTCGTTACAACCAAGGTATGCAGAATACCATCTCTGAACGCACAACACGTCGAACCCTGAAGCAGATGGGCTACAGCAGCAGAAGACCACACCGGGTGCCGCTCCTGTCAGCTAAGAACAGGAAACAGAGGCTACAATTCGCACAGGCTCACCAAAATTGGACAATAGAAGATTGGAAAAGCATTGCCTGGTCTGATGAGTCTCGATTTCTGCTGCGACATTCAGATGGTAGGGTCAGAATTTGGCGTAAAGAACATGAAAGCATGGATCCATCCTGCCTTGTCTCAATGGTTCAGGCTGGTGGTGGTGGTGGTGGTGTAATGGTGTGGGGGATATTTTCTTGGCACACTTTGGGCCCCTTCGTACCAATTGAGCATCGTTTAAACGCCACAGCCTACCTGAGTATTGTTGCTGACCATGTCCATCCCTTTATGACTACAGTGTACCCATCTTCTGATGGCTACTTCCAGCAGGATAATGCACCATGTCACAAAGCTCAAATCCTCTCAGACTGGTTTCTTGAACATGGCAATGAGTTCACTTTACTCAAATGGCCTCCACAGTCACCAGATCTCAATCCAATAGAGCACCTTTGGGATATGGTGGAACGGGAGATTCTCATCATGGATGTGCAGCCGACAAATCTGCAGCAACTGCGTGATGCTATCATGTCAATAATGGACCAAAATCTCTGAGGAATGTTTCCAACACCTTGTTGAATCTATGCCACGAAGAATTACGGCAGTTCTGAAGGCAAAAGGGGGTCCAACCCGGTACTAGCAAGGTGTACCTAATAAAGTGGCCAGTGAGTGTATATACATAATAAATATACAGTACACACACTATGTAAACAAAAACTTTTATTTTGGATGCAAGTAATCGCGATTAATCATTTGACAGCACTATAATTAAATAAAACATTTTAGCTTTAAATTTACAGAGTGCCTAAAGAGATATAGTTATGGGAAAAATTAGTTGGGAGGAAAAAAATATACTTGCACATTTTCATAAGAAACTTGCAAAATTTCTCTAACAAAATTGTGTTTTAAATTGTAGTTTTTAATTTATTCACCTAAAAGATTTAAAATGGAATAGTTCAGAGAAATGTGGGCAATCAAACATGAGAGCACACAGATGTCTCGCAAAAACTAATTTGAGAGAATGCAAAAGTTTTTCGGAAGAACAGAAGTTTTTGTTGGTTTTTCGAGAGAGAAAGTTTCATAAGGGAAGAAAAAAGATTTCCCATCACCATGTGCCCTCAAGGCTCCAATCAAATCCTATTTGAGATCTCGGATGTTGTTTTGCCAGGTTATCCTCATTCTAGAGGTAAATACAGAATCATAGCTTCAGGTAATAAATCAAAATTCTCCCCCCCCCAAAAAAAAAACCCTCAAAAGGTCCGCGGTGTTCACATTGATTCATTCCACCTTAAGTTGCACTAAAAAGCAAACTAATTAAAAAGTCAAAGATCTCCTCTACCAGTGCTCTTTATGACACCCATGAGCCTTGACCATCTCAGGCGTTGGAGTTTGTGTTCTGGAGGGTCTGTGATCTGAGACGTTGCGAACATGACTAATGCTGCCCGATTTGGGAGCGTCCGGGTTCTCCGCTGGTACCTCACTCTGACTACACAGCCTCAGAGCCTGAGAGATAAACACGTCCAGGTCAAAATGTTCTTCCCCGGAAGGATCCATCTGTGAGGGCTCTTCATCGTTTTCACAACGTATGGAGGAAGACGGGTAATTTGATGAACCGTGATGAGGCGAGGAAGGAGAAGTGGGCAGCAGAGACGGAGGAGCGGTGAAGAACGGGTTAGGACTCCTCCTGCTGTCGTGAGGGCTGGACAGTTGCAAAGCCGCTGGGATTTGCATGTGAGAATGAGGCAGCATTGTAGGAGACAGCGGCTGAGGAGGTGAACACGGGGAGGTGAGAGCTTCTTGAGGAGAACCGGGCGAGTGGAGTCCAGACTGCGTGCTCTCCACCCAGCGCGAGATCTCCTGGAACAGATCTCCAGGCTCGGCGAGAAGCTTCTCCACACTGCCCCCTCTTGGAGCAGACATGCTGTTGTGCCTCCAGTGAGACAGGTCCAGTATTAGCTTGGGTTCAGAGTAGTGCTGCGGCTTCCCTTCCCGCCACGCGATCTTATCCAGGTAGGACGGAGAGCCCACTTTGTAATCGCAGGAGCGGCCGCAGTCCAGCTCCGTGAACTGGCTGCAGACACGCTCCAGAGACGAGTGGGACTGCTCCAGGAATCGCTCTGCGGAGCTGCTGTGGGAGTATTTGCGAGGGTCTACCTGAGCCTCCTCGATGTGGGCCGCTGAACTCGCTCGTGGATCTCTTTGAACTTCGTCGTCTTCCGCCTCTCCCAGTTCAGAGACGCTCTGCATGCAGCCGCACTGCTCCTGCTGCGGCCAATAAGCATCTGATGACAGACTCCCATCATACCTGAGAAAAAAGTGCATACACAGTTTTAGCACACATATGAACATTTTTTATAATTTACAATGAGGTGCATATTGGCAATTAGTCAGAGCGTTATTTAAATTAATGTTTTAGGTTAAAAACACCTCAATCTCTTTTTCCACAGTTTTTTTTAAATTGCATTAATTGAGTTTTTTTTTTATAAAACATTAAGTTTTAAAATGTAAGGAACTGTATCACCAGCATAAACAATAAAAAATTAATTAAAACATTTTATATTAATAACTTTTATTAAAACAAGCATTATTAAATAAGATTTGCAAACCATACTTCTTTTTTTATAATTTTGTGTATTTATTTACTGGATTAACATTAAAAATACATAAAAGAACACAGTACTGTTCAAAAGTTTGCGGTCACTAAGAATAAAATGAATACTTTTATTTAGCAAAGACACCTTAAATTGATCAAAAGTGACAGTAAAGACAGTAAAAAATTTATCTGTCACATAAAAGCTTTTTTTTTGTTTGTTTTTTACTTTCTATTCATCAAAGAATCCTGAAAAAAATGTATCATGTTTTCCACAAAAAATATTAGGCAGCACAACTGTTTTCGACATCGTTTCTTGAGCATCAAATCAGCATATTAGAATGATTTCTAAAAGATCGTGTGACACTAAAGACTGGAGTAATGATGCTGAAAATTCAGCTTTGCATCACAGAAATAAATTATAGGTTGAAAAATAGAAAACCTTTTACTTGGTGAACATTTTTATCAACCAACAGTTAACACAAGCTTGGTGTTGACTAATGTGATCAAATTAATCGAGCTTGTCTATGCTATCAAATATTTTAACTTCTGTCCGACTCCAGACCAATGGAATTGCATTACTTTTAAGCACAAATTTTATGTTTGCAAACAAAGGATTACTGGTGGTAATGAAGACCATCTGTGGCATAGACATTCATTTCTTTTCAACAGCCACATTTATACACTTGGTCAAAATAATTGAACATTTCAAAAGTTCATTTCTGTTGCTGATCTTTGGTGTCAGCTAACAAGCTTGTTCACCTCCCACTGCTGGCTGTGATCAGTAATGGAAGCGCTTCTGTCAGATGCGCCCATATGGCCACATAGAGGACAACAATGACATTCTTATTAAGTTGTCACAGAGTCCGCTTTCAGATATAATTATGCAGGGGTTTCATAAGTTTCTATTTGAACAGCATTCTACATCACCGATAGGTCCTCGGGGCATTTCAGTACCATCTGTGTAAACTGCCTTTTACATGACCCTTGTTTTCACTCTTCTAACGTTTATGTATCCACAAACTTTTAACGATCAAACTTTCATCACTGAAGAAGTATCAAAGAACGAATGCAGACTTTAATTTGTTCTCCAAAACTTAAACTCTTTTTCCCCCCTTGGTTTCATTATGCTCTAGTACTCAAGTACTGCATTTTATTGGGTTATAAAGTTTCGTTTGTTTATTTTTTTAATGTTCTTTTAAAAGTATTGCACATTGCACCCACAGGGTAACAACCCCATTTCTTTGCTTAACACATATATGATGGTAAAATGCTTAATAATAACAAAAAAAACGATAAAAGCTTTATCTTGGTCATAATATGTCCTGGTATACATTTTAACATATTTTTGGGCTTTGTACTGTACATAATTTGGAGAACGCATTTTTTCCCCCTTTTTGCTATGGCGAGCCTCAGAAAGAAATAATATTCACATTTGTTAGTGAGTAATCTTCATATCAAAGTCATATAATTTTTTTTTATTATGAGAAATATGTTTGTTGCCAAGAAGCAACATTGAGTGACAGTGGAACGGTTGCTGTAGAACATAATTGCCATTATCATACAGAAAATTCACATAACATTAAAATATAATTTACGTCGTCGCCGATAGCCTCGTGGGCAGCGCGTCGACATGTAGCGCCATAGCGCTTCGGGCGTCCCGTGTTCGAGTCCCGGCTCGTGGACCTTTCCCGATCCCATTCCCCCTCTCTCCCACTTCGCTTCCTGTCTCACTACTATCCTATCAATAAAAGTCAAAAACGCCAAAAAAAAAATCTTTAAAAAAATATATATATAATTTACATTTTTCACAATTTTAAACTGTAATAATATTTCATAAACCCTACTGTTTTTACTGCACTTCTGATTAAATATATAGCTTCTTTGGAAAATATTTTTAAAAATGCTACTTTTGAACAGTAGTGTCTGAATTATTTAATTTAAATTATTTACAATTTCTTCTTATTATTAATTTATTTTGTTTTTTAAATTCTTTTTGTAACAAGGTGCTAGAAATATTTTTTTTAACATTTCATTTATAATACATGCAACTAGAGTAATTATTAAACATGGTAGGAATGTGGATTGTACTTTATTTGAAACTTTACATTTAATTTATGAAATCAAAATTAAGTTTGCTCAGCTATATAGATTGCATTCTTTATAAAAGATCAAGAGTGTTTTCAAAACGGTCACAGATCTGTGTCAGCAACACTGGAACTGGAACAAATGCCATCATCGGGAGAGAAAAGCTTGAACTCTGGGTGTTGGTAAGTCTGAGAGGCTCGTGTGTGACATACCTGTCCCAGTGGGAGCTGAGCGCGTGACCGTGCTCGGTGACCAGACTGTCCTCCAGCTCGTCCTCTATGTGAAAAGGCTGCAAGGAGACAGGCTCATCCTGAGGACACGAGTATCTCTGCAGGTATAGATGAGACAAAGCCGCTTCTGCTGTCAGCCGGTCCATGGGATTAAAGGTGAGGATACACTCCAGGAAATCAATGTCTGAAATGTGGAGACCGTGAATAATGCTGTTGATGTATCACATATTTAAAAAAATATATGCTCAGCTTACCTTTGTCCTCCACCTCTGGCAATAGTTTTCTGAGTGACCTCTTGACCTCCCACCCTTGACCTACAAAACAGGGCATGACCTTCAGCAGTTCCTGTCTGTCCTCCTCTCTAATAACAGGCACGGTGTCCAAAATCAGCTGCATCTGCTCCAGTTCATGAGCACCTTAGAGAAGAGAAACAAACAGAGTCGTCGGTACCTTATAGGCACAATATGTAATTTTCGCCGCTAGAGGGTGCGTATTCAAAATAAAAAAAAGCTCCGTGTCACTAGTTAAAATTGCTTATTTCTCTGGATTTAAACATTCTTCGAAACATTTGGGATAATGTAAGTACACAAGTCAGCGAAATATATAACACTGTTCTAGTGGTTTTTGGATATTTTAATAAAAAAAATCTTACATATTGTGCCTTTAATGTTATCATCAATACAATTGTTTTATATCTTGACACTGCTTTTTTTGCATGTATTGATGCTTTGGCAGTATTGCATGCACAACAATCATGCAATGAAGCAGGGTGAGGCTGAAAGCCGTCGAAGCGAAACGAGGCTGCTGAATGAGCGTGACACACGGCTCAAAAGCAGCGGAGCTTTTATTATGCTACAGTCGACTGCTTCCGCTCCTTCCGGTCGTGCACATGTGGGAAAAAAAGCAGCGCTGTTTTATCATACTAGATACATTTGAAAGTTCTGTTATTATGCTACTGTGTGCGGTCGTCACCGGTCTAATAAAACGCACAACATATTAAAGCGTCTTTGGTGTTTCCATGTTTTCTTTGGTGTTTCCGGAAATCGAGAGGTTATGACGTCATTGGCAGGCAACACAATGACACTATGGACACGGTCCGTGTCACTAGTTAAAATTGCTTATTTCTCTGGATTTAAACATTCTTCGAAACATTTGGGATAATGTAAGTACACAAGTCAGCGAAATATATAACACTGTTCTAGTGGTTTTTGGATATTTTAATAAAAAAAATCTTACATATTGTGCCTTTAATGTTATCATCAATACAATTGTTTTATATTATTGACACTGCTTTTTTTGCATGTATTGATGCTTTGGCAGTATTGCATGCACAACAATCATGGTAAGGTACAACTGTGAAACTGAAATAGAAAGCGATTGATGCGTCAGGTCTCAACGTCTATTTTTACTTTACCACCTATAGCCACTAGAGGACGCTCTAAGACTAGTCTGGATAATGAAGATTGATGTTCTTGTTTTTCAAGTGAACCCACAAGATCTATAGAGCAATAGAAACACTAATGACGACCCTTTGCTCATTACTGAGCGCTGTTCTAGTCTTACCTGCAAACAGCATGCGGCCTGTGAGCATCTCAGCCAGAATGCAGCCTGCGGCCCACATATCAATTGCTTTAGTGTAGTTATTTGGAGACAGCAGCAGTCTTGGTGAACGGTACCATTTAGTGACCATTCCTTCTGACAGATATCCCTGCAGAGAAAACAAAATGCAATTGCCATCCATATATTACATTCATAACTATTAAATGGTGTACTTAACATGATAACAGCCATTTTTATTGTCGTTTTTGGAGGTAGACAGCCTTAAAAAAAATGGTCCAAGATTCTTCATTTAAACAGCAAATTAATAAACCTAATATAATTTATATAAATATATATTATACTGTTAATTGTACATACATACATGTATATAATGTTTTACTGCATTTACAAATAAATGCAGCCATATTATTTTGATTCAAAATAACTGTTTTTAGTTTTAATGCATTTTAAAACGTAAGCTGATTTTTTCATGAACTTTCAGAAATCATTCTAATATGCTGGTTTGATACTCAAGAAACATTTCTTTATTATTATCTGTTTTGACAACAGTTGTGAGCTTTTTTAATAATTATGTGAATCCTGATTTTTTTTTTCAGGATTCTTTGATAAATAGAACGTTTAAAAGAACAGCATTTATTTAAAAATAAAATCTAATTTAGTAAATGTGTTGTATAAATATAAAAAAGTAGGGTGTAAAAAAGCCATGTGACTCAGCATCAGTGTAAAGTCTGATGAGAAGCAGCTGATGTACAGTAACCCTATGACTCCCAATACCCCCCTCCTACAATCTCCTTCAGCTCATCCTTCCTGCCGTCCTTCATCCTTTCCTCTTCTTTCTCACCTCCCACTCTCCCCCTGGGCCCAGGTGATGAATTATTTGTGAGATTTTAGCAGGCAGCCTCAGTAGGAGTCGCCTGCCTGCACTGCTAGCATATGTGGATCCAGATGCTTCTGTGAATCCAAGGTCCACTTATCTGTGATCCTCTTGATTTGGGAACTGAATGTTCCCTCCATGCTGAGAGGGGAACAGACGCTCTCAGCACTGAGTGGCAGGAACTCGCTCTGTGAATGGGTGAAAGGAACTACTGCCCTTAATTCACTGAAGCTCACTGCACACTCAGAGGTACAACGAAACACTGATGATTCTTTAGACTAAAACAACCAGGAGTATCATGCACCTATATTTTAGAGGGGCACAGGTGGCAGTCCAGGCTCATTTGGTATCTCTGGTATATGAGACATGACAAAAATATAAGGGTATTTTTCTCATAAGAGTAACTGTATATAGAAGGGGTGGGCGATATACCGGTATGTATTGAACGGGAGTTCTTTTTGCTGCTTTATAGACCTTGAACGGTTCAATACACACACTTGTATGTGTCAAAATGCCCGTCTATGCAAGTATCCTCGTAAACACAGTAGGTCTTAAGTGAAAGCAAACAGCTGAGAAAGAAAACACATGTGTAACAGTATATTGGATACGGGCAGCTCTTAAAGTGACAGCAGTCTAAAATTCCTGTTGTCAGTTATGTTAATCAAATCACTTTTGTAACTTTAATAATAAGAAATATACATTTAGTTTACACAGTGAAGAATATGCAGTTTTTATACATTTGACTACTTCATACAATGTATGTAGCATTTCTTATTTATTTGTTCTTCTGTAGTTATTTTGTCCTATTGATTGTAGTTAGTTTCTTATTCTTATTTAATCACTGACTATTTACTTGTCTTCAGTGAGCTTGAGTTTTTTAGGCTAGTATTAGTTATTTGTTATATTGACACTGGTGACAAGAATTTCTATGGTATCAAAAGTTTTGATACCATAAAGACCTTATGTAAAGCAAAAATAACTATATCGTGATTCGTGATATATATATCGTTACCGTGAAATAAAATTACTCATATGGTGACAAGATTTTGGTCATATCGTCCACACCTAGTATATAGGGATATATCCTCAAAAGTTAAACCACACTTAAAATGTATGAATCCCATTGCATTAGATAAAAAATATATATATCTGGAAAAATGCTAAAGCTTTTCTCAAACCTAACATAATTTTTCATTGGTTGATAATTTTTCATTGGTTGGTTATTCACATACACTACCATTCAAAAGTTCAGGTTTGTAATTGTTTTTTTTAATAAATTAATACTTTTGTTTCAGCAAGATGCATTTTTTTTTATCAAAAGTGACAGTAAACACATTTAAAATGTTACAAAATATTTATATTTCAAATAAATGCTCTGTCTTTCTACTCATCAAATAACGCTGGAAAAAGAAATATATCATGGTTTTCATACAAATATTAAGTAGTACAACATGGACAATAATATAATCGTTTTTTGAGCACCAAATCAGCATTAGTTGTTTATTTTGTACTTTTATTTGACTAGGATTGATACTAGGTTTAGCAAGATCTGGCAACACTACAGGTATTGTACTGTATACCAGCACATATTCCACTCATTTTTCCTAATCAGAAAATTTATGCTGAATACGTCTTAATCATTTTGCACAATATGTCTATTGTTTTATAGTTAAACATATAGAAAGCCTTTCTTTCTTAAAATGTCTTGCCTAAATGTTTGTGCAATAATAAGTGTGGCTAAAGTGTCCAAACACTTTTTGAAGCCACTGAAAAGAGAGCAGCTTTGACATTTTGATAATATATACATAGTTTGAGTGACATGAGAGCACAGGGATGCTGCTCTTATAGAGTCTGCAATCTCAGCTATCTTCCAATCAGTGCATGGCATTTTAAACAGGGCTCCTCAAAGAATAGTCCTAGTACTACTATAATTTCCTGGGCTGTTTTTATTCTAGCTGTTCCTAGAATAAACTATGACTATCCCCCTTCCCTGATCATTCACCCCACCTTGTTCTGTCTGACACAAAGCTCTCCATTCATGCTGTCCTCCCAGTCTGCTAGTATTACACAGTGAGCTCTGCTAAATAATACAGAAGCACAATGAGACAGTAAAGTGCCACATTAATCTTTCAGCTCCCATAACATCAAGATAATTGTTCATAATTATTGTGTAACGCAATAGTATAATGTTAAAGTTTGAACACATCTATGAGCAATGCACGGAAATATGAAGTAACTATAGATTGTAGTTGTTCTTAGGCCACCAGGATCAAGCAGGCAATAATATCTGCATAAAACAAACCATTATGCCCAAAAAATGCTTCAATAAACAAAAAATCTTTATCAATCAACAGGTTTGAATGCATTATTTGGTGTACAAAATTGAAAGCATGGGAGAAGGTTTTGTGCAAGACCGAAAAACAATAACAAGTCAACAAAGAATATTCTAAACTATACAGACTGCTTTAAAATTACTTACATATGCATAATAATATAGGAAATTGTTAAACCTCATGTAGTATAGCAGATACTACTGCTTAAAGGGATAGTTCACCCAAAAAATGAAAATATTGTATCAAAATTTACTCACACCCATGTCGTTCCAAACCTGTTTGCAAGAAGACATTTTGAAGAATCTTGATAACTAAACAGTTTCAGTTTCAGCTTTGGAATAACATTAGGTTGAGTAAATGATGACAGAATTTTTTGGGTGAACTATCCCTTTAAGACTCATTTGTAGCTGCCTAGACTTATGACAATAAAAAAAACTATGAAAAGATTGATTGAAAGCAGATAATCTAAAGTACTTCTGTTCCTAAGGAGGTTACGTTGAAGATGAAGCTGTAAATGGATTAATGTCATTATCTTAACAGCCTGCAGCTCATGATAATTGATAGGAAATGTGATTCTGCTAATCAAGGCCAGACTGTAACTGCAGGGTGAACCACAGTGAAAGCTCACATGACAGTACTATACTTACTAACATCTAAAAGTGCCCCAAAATAAACTAAAATAACCAATTCTTCACAGTATTACTCAGTGTGAACCACACTCTTACATAAAGTAGTAGCGGTACCATTACCCTTATACTTTCCTTATACTTGGTAACCTAATAATTACCCTGGTATTTACAATGTACTTCAAAGAATACCCTGCAACATTTCCAAAAATATGGTATATGTGGTACATATAAAAAAAAAAATCCACCAAAACTGCATAGTGTAATCCAAGACTACTTAATAAACATCTCGATCGGCTTTGATAGGATCAATACTGACTTATTTTGACCAATAACAATACAAATTATTTTCATGTTTAAGTGAATATATATGAAGAATTGAAGAATTTTCTTGCAAAGTTGCTATTTCTATCTATGCAAATTTATATTAGTTTTGTGTTAATGTCTAACAGCTAATTATTATTTGATAATTGTTATTGTAATTATTATCTCTGCTTCTGTAATAAAATATTGAATCAGCATTAATATTCAATAAAACCATAATATGCAGAGATTTTTTTCTTTTCTTTTTTTTTTTGGAAAGTTGCCGTTTTGATCAAAACAAATGTATATTATTTTTGGGAAATTTAAGAACGAATGGATGTTAAAAAGTTACCTGTGAATACAGGTGACCATTTATCAGTAGACCTATTACTACAGCACCGATAACCAATAAAGTTGGAATGTATACTTCTATTAGGTACAACTGTATTATTTCTGTACCTATTTATATACGTGCTATTCCTCCTAGTGAGTGAAGCTGTACGTGCCGCAGTGACACCTGCCCTGCTGCTGTGACTCTTACCTTGTGTGAGTAATGTGGGTCGACAATGCGAGCCAGACCGAAGTCTCCAATCTTCAGCAGCATTTGCTCAGTGTTGATAAAGATGTTCGCTGGCTTGAGGTCACGGTGCAGCACGTTGGCCGAGTGGATGAACTTGAGCCCGCGAAGCAGCTGATAAAAGAGCAGGGTGGCGTGTTCTGCTGGCAACGGCCCTTGCTCCAGTAACCGTGCCAGGTCAGTTTTCATACACTCTTGCACAATGTATATCGCTGACACATGGGTCAGGTCACGCGGTAAAGGGTGACCGGACGGCCCCAACAAGTCATACACCCGGACGATGTTCTCATGCTGCAGGCGGCGGGTGATCTTCACCTCTCTCAGAGCGTGTTTTACGCTGACGGCATCTCGCATGACCAGCTTCTTGACCGCCACACGCAGGCCGCTGCGCCTGTCCACCGCAGAGAGGACGAGGCCAGACGCTCCCGTGCCAAGAGGACGCAGATCCTGGTAATGTCGCCCCAGGTCAAAGCCATATCGGAATGGGGATGTAGTCTGCCAAGCCATAGCTTAGAGAGGAGCAATTGGGCATTGCCTGCGAGAGGCTGCAGAGAGTGAGGAGAATGATAAATGACCAAATAATGCAATATTCTATTACAAAGCTATAAAAAAAACACTAGATTATTTTTATTACAATCTACAATTCAAACCACAGCTGCATGATGCAAAAATTAACCCTTCTTCTCGAAGAGAGATATCTTAAATCACAGTTGCACACTATCAAAGCAATGGGGGCACAGTCCTGGATGGAATACAACTCAACACCCTGGTACAGGGCAAGTGTTTCCATAGCAACATCCCACAGTCAGTCAGTGCCTGCTGCACACCGCAAACACTCTGAAACGCAGTCTCCCAGGATTCATCTCTACCCCAAAAACACTCCATGTTATATTCAAACTCAATTACACTCCTGCACTGGAGTTGGAGGTTCTCTGATATCTGACTTTAATGTTAGCGGCAGGTGAGTTTCATTTATAATCTAAGAGCTTTCACTTGCCGTCTCCGGCTCCAGGCTGTCCTGTTCCCTCCATGCTTCTCACGCAGCTATGTGTCATGCTTCTTATGCATCCCCTTCAATGGAGAAAAGGAAAGAGAGAGACAGAGAGCAGCTGTATCATTAAATACTGATCACAATTACAATAAAAACAGGAACTGGTATGGTTTAGAAATACTACCAAATGCAAATTTTTACATTCATAGTTTTTAAAATGTTTCAGCTTGGTGGTTTTCTACATTGTTATACAAAATATGCATCTCACTTAAAAACTGTTTCTTGTTTTCCAACTCAGTTGGTTAAAATGAACTCCTTTGCCTTTAGCTGGCTCTTAGTGCCCACACACTTTTTCAGCGGCCCTTGAGCCGGAAGTTTTTCTCCCATTCATTTTTCCCATAGGGATTTAAAAACGTCTTATTATCCATGAACCAAACCAGCCAGCTACGTATGAGCGAATAAAAAAAAAGAATAGGCCTATTTGAAAATTGGACAAAAGCACAAAGGTACAAGACAATCTACTACAATCCCATTTAAAGCACTGCAAATGACAATCAAATTAAAAAGATGGAGAAATAAATGGAGAATAAAATATTAAAATATTGCTTTAAAGATGTTAATTGCATATATAGAAACAACATATTTTATTTTATACATATGCATATACAGTATACACAAATATTAAGGTATTTTGAGAGCCTAGGGAGACTAACTCGATTCTGTCATTCGCAGTGCCTCATGGGAGTGGGTGGGCGCTATAGAGTTATTTTGGTACAACTTACTTGTATCAGTTTCTGACTGGTGGAGGTTACTTTGCAGAATCATGGGTAATATAGTTTTCATTCCGCTGTTAAACACGATTATTTAACAGAATAAGTTTGAAAAATAAAATCGTCAAAATAGATTGAGCAGACTGACGGCTTCAACAAAAGCACATAGTAGTCTTGAATGTCTTTAAACAATAGAACTGTGTTTAAAGTTAAATAAGTTATCATTAAAATCAATTGTCCTATGGAGAAAATTAATGGAATATTTACTTCGCAACCGACTGTTGCACTCTATGCTACTACTACTTTTTTACTCTGTACTGACACCTATTGGCCTGAATGCATGCTGTAAATAAAAATGCACGTTTTTTTATTTACAACTGCAGCTTCTCCACAACCAAGCTGTTTGTTTATATATATATATATATATACAGTGGGTACGGAAAGTATTAAATGATTTTAGCAAATGGCTGCAATATAAAAAAGAGTGAAAAATTTAAGGGGGTCTGAATACTTTCCGTACCCACTGTGTATATATATATATATACTTTTTTTTTTTTATGTTTTTTCTTTTTCTCTCATACTACACACCTCCATGTAATAGACATTGGCCATTGCTTGTTTAGTTTAGATGTACTTGTATTGTTTATGCTTTGTAAAGAGCATTGAGCACTAATTAAAATAGTTATATAAAGTTAACATTATAAGTATTAGTATTATATATAGGCCTACAGTAACTTGTCAATTTGCATAACACCACAGGTCATGTGATGTCAACATGCTAGCACCCATAAGGGGATGGACCCGTTCCTGTAGAATAAAAAAAGCTTTTCCTGAACACATACGTTACCTATGTACCTATGTATAGGTAGAGATAGTACCTATCTCTTATGATAATTTAATGATTTAAAAAAAAATGTGCTGAGTGCACGGAAGAATCTAGTAGAAACCAGTGAGCCAAACTTTATAAATAATGCATATGACTATGGCGCTGACCGTGCATGCGGATGCAGTTTATTGTTGAACGTTAGAACAAAATGTATTCATTTATTCTGCTTAATGATGTTATTGTTCATATTTATGATAACGTAAAATAACAAAAACGGAGAACTTGTTAAGCCAGTGAATGAAGGCTAGAAAGCACAAATGAAGCTTGTGGGTCCAGCTGAACACACAATAGGCAGCGCTGCATTCATTCGCCTTTGTGTGACAATAGTAACGCCTGTATTTGGCTCTGAAATTGAACGGATACATACACAAACCCGTGCGCATTATAGTACAGAATAACAGCAGTTTCACTCGCAAGTGTATTCAGAAGTGACAAAAGAGCCTATACACGTATGAAACATAGTATAAAATCAGATTTTGACAACACTATCTTCTTATCTTCCGGCCCATCCGGAAAAAACTACAAAGGCAGCGATGCTCCTGGATCTCTTACCGTCGCCTGCCTTTGTCAGATGCTCCACGGGTCTGCTCTATTTGTGTTGAAAAAAAGAAAAACGAACAGTTTTCCATCGGGAAAGTGGTGTTTTCGTAGTTCAGAGTTTGTTATTGAATCTTGGCACTGGTGCAGTCCGGTAGATGGAGGTTTTAGTCTGTCAGTTTGCTGCTGCTGCCGTGAGGAATTTTCCGTGTGTTATCAGAGAATAATATTAGATCTTACCCTCGATAGTGTCACCGGGAGAAACCGCCGAGAGAGCGTTCCTTTGAGACACACTGCATTTGTTCGGCTGCCAGTGTCCCTCTTCCAGTGTGGATCTACAAGCTTTTCTTTGGCAAAACTCGTTGGTGTCCCCTTGATGACGTCACGCCCTCCCCGTCCATCAGACGGTGATCCTGACACCTGCGCGCTCGTGCAGGACAAACACATCAGTGCTCTGGCATCAGGTCTGCAGGTGGGCTTGGGTGCTCAGGGCATCTGTTTGTGACATCTAAGTGCTTCACTCCACGGACTCACTATTTTTCAAAGTTAATTTTTATTGATAAAAATATTACTAGGTGCAGACACTAAATGCGGTCCTTTTTGTCTATGTATATTGAAAAAAATGTTTTTTTATTTGTAGGCTATTTCATAGCAAAGTTTGTACACTGTAAAATTTTTCAAAACAAAAAATACAGTAAAACAAACTTTATTACATTACTAGGCTGACACGACAGTACGTGCAATTTCACTTATATTTATATAATTTGTATAATCAATACATTTATAATGTAAAAATAATATAAAGATTTTATATATATTATATGCATTAGTGAGAGCGATTGCGTATGTGAATCTCTCTACTAGTAGTTAAGCTGTGGGATTTATTTATTAAGAAATATATGCTTGAACTTTTCAGTTTCTAAGCTATTTTATTGAGAAATCACAGAACAGTGTTGACAACACATTTCCGCGCTGAATGATTCTGTGCGCGTGATGTACGAGCTACTGTCTGTAGCCTATGTGTGTGCGTTACAGTGCCGCAGCGCATTAGATTAGAACGGCGATTAATTTATCTGTACAATAAGCTGTTTAAAACGTGCATTCTCCCGTTCAATTTCGAGCATCCAGTAATATAATCACACGTCTTGTGGAGCGTTTTCAGAGCATGCATTTATTTGTCATTTGAACTGTTTGGAAACGGAGCGTAAATGTGGAAGTCCTTCAAAGATTTCTTATCCTGTTGCGCCCTCTATAGGACCAGCGACTAGTCGACGTCAAGCTTAACGCGTCACGGCAGAGCATTGAAGTCGACTAGTCGATTAGTCTGTGCAACCCCTAGTATGTAAACAAAAACTTTTTATACAGTGAAACTTAATTGGTTGACTGTTACATTACTATATATGATTTCAAGGTCTCTCTCTCTCTCTCTCTCTCTCTCTCTCTCTCTCTGTGTGTGTGTGTGTGTGTGTGTGGTCCTGGTAAACCCTACATTATGGGGACAAAATCATAAATCATACAGAATGAAGTTTTTGAAAATCTAAAAATGCACAAAGTTTCCTGTAAGGGGTAGGTTTAGTTGTAGGGTGATACAGTTTGTACAGTATAAAAACCATTACGCCTATGAAATGTCCCCATAAAACATGGAAACCCACTGTGTGTGTGTGTGTGTGTGTGTGTGTGTAGCTTACTGAAATACTGTGATTAAAAAGACTGATGTAATTTCCTCAAATAATGTTAAACGTTCAACTGTTTATTTAAATATTATTTCCTTTCAAATGAATAACTATCAACAAATATTGTAGTAACTCACGCCGTCATTTCCTGAAAATGATGCATCAATTTATTTTCTAGCTCTCAGCTACTGTAGCATGCTGCTAGCATCGATGAAATGTGTTTATCAGAATAGTTTTCAAATCATTCTGATCACCATTTATCTTTTTTCTCATGATAAAGTGAACCGAGGTGTCTGTGATTAGGTCTTGAGCTCTGCTGCTTTGTTTTGTACTTGCACACTCTCCTTTCTCTCGCCCTCATTCTCTTTATGTGCCTTCAGCTCCTTGATAAATGCTTAAAGACCTTCCACTACTGACAAAAAGTACAGCAGTTCCTGGAAACAAAATGAGCACCTCGGTTCCGGCAGTGCAGAGATGCAGTATCTTTGGATTCCTCAGCAGGAGAGACAGTGTGTTTGGCTACCCTCCAAATGCTTCATCCTGACTGAGGTCAGGTTACTGCACTGAGAGTCAGTGGTGAGAGGAGGAAATTAGATAAATGAAGAGCTTGTCTACATTTCCTCTGTCCAAACACCTGAGTCAGCTCTGTGAGAGTGAGAGGGCAAAAAATATGTATACAGATACACATGTAGCAGTGCGTACATTTCTGAAAAAATAAAAATAGCCAAGGCAGTATGTTGTTTAATTAAATGTGTTTTTTGAACATTAAAGCATGTCAACATATTCTGTTACACCAAATACACAAAATAATGATCTTTAAAAAAGCATCATATGACCCCTTTAAATTATGCATATGCTTATCATTGATCATTTATATTGTTAGATTATACTTATGCTTTTATTCAAAGTAAAAATAATTCAACCGCCATGCCATATCAAAGACTATAGAATACCTAATAGTCTTAAAGGGACATTGGCCATATCCATTTAGGTCCTCTGAGAGATTTAGCCAGGTTTTTTTCCCCCTTTAGCTTGCAGCGACCTCTAACGGTTACAAATGTAAATCATTTAGAATCAGACACTCATATTAGTATGTTTAACTGAATGTTTGAATGTTTAACAAAATATGTTTTATTCATGTGTATTGTATCGTATACTATATTTATAAACCACTAAATTCAGCAGGTCTTGTCTCGTTCTTTTAGGGTTTTCTCTGATTAAAAACTGACAAAGCTGAATATAAGTATATTCAAATTAGTGCTGTAATTATATGGTGTTAACAGATTTTTCTCTCTCTACATATGAAGAACATTTTATAGTATTGTAAACACTGAATTGTTTATTTATTACTTTCAACTTAAAGTGAAGGTGAATATTTGAAAACACTACAACTTAACACTACAAAGCGACAGTCTGTTCATTTTAAGGGTGTCAAAATGGTTTCCACAATTCAGGGATTCAATACACTTTGTGTTGTTTGCAAAAGAAAAAAGAAAAGAAAAAAAAAGTGGACCAACAGAGCATTTCTCATAATTACAGTTCAGGGCTTGCTTTCATGAGCGATATCGTCACAAATGTGTCAGCGTGAGACAGATAACAAGTGAAGTGTACGCCCACAATTTATCTAAAATCACATGTGTATTTCCTCAGAAATGGTGTTGATGAACAACAGTCATTTGAGGATAATTATGAACATGCATTTTGGTAATCTAGAAAAATGCAGAAATACACTCAGACCAGTTTATTTCCATAATTTAATATCCTTCCGTTGTGCTGTATTGTATACACTGCATGTAAACAGACAACTATAAGACAGATATCATTTGGACAGTAGCACTGAAAAAAATCAAACAAAAAAAAAAACACTGAATGTAATGTAGAAACTAAAGCCCACAGAAACATAAAATCCTTAAAAATGAAGTGCATCTATCAACTCTAAAGTTTGATCTACATTTTAAACATTTGGTGAAGTACTGCTATATAACATTTCCTAGTACTTTTGTGGAGTTGGAGACATAGACATACAGTATTTGTCAAGGGCTAGCATAAACCTGTTAGGCAGGAAAACGTTAATAGTCAAAACTAAGAATGTCACATGGTTTACAGACACCTCTTTGATCATATGATAATGTTCAGTGTTTTTCTGACCACACACCTGTGTGGTTCCTGTCAGCATTGCTTCAAGTTCAAGTTGCACTTTCAAATTCAAACCAAAAGGCTAAATGTTTGGAATACTGCCACACCTTCAAACCACTGATGTTTATGGTGCCAGTGAGGCTGTGTTTAGCTGCACAGTATCGAGAATGTAGAGACTGTCCCAAGTGAGGGATTCAGGAGATTTTACTATCACGCGTACAGAGGCTGATAGTCATTCTTCTTGCTTCTGCAGGCAATGACACAGATGCTGAGCATCCCAAACAGCTGAAAAAGACACACAAAACAAGTTGCTGAAAATTCATTGTCTGATAAACAAGGATGAAGATGAGGCTAAAATGAGCTGATGTACCTTAATGATGGCAAATCCCAGGATGACCAACATTGCATAACCAAGCACATCCTGAAGCACCTGCTCCAGTTTAGCTTCACATCCCTGTAGGAACAACAGAGTACAGAGGTTTTTGTTTCCCCCACAAAAACACAAATTACATAATTTTAATATAATATGCTGATCTAAATACAAGTGTTGTAACTAAAAAAAACTTGTAAAACTAACAAAAAATATATGTTGTTATTTATTTGAAATAAAGCTGAAATAAAATAAAATACACATATTAGATGAAAAACAAATGAAAATAAGCTTAGTACTAAAATTCCAAAAAGTGAAATAAATAAAAAAAGCTAAAAAAAAAAACCAACAAACAAATTTAAAATGAACTGAAAACATCAAATAAAAGCCAATTCAAAATATAAAATATTATAATAGCATGTAAATAATACTAAAATAACTGAATAAAATAATGCACAACATCAGATGTCAAACCTGTGTGTTCAGAAGATCTAGTCGGGTGAGTTGGCCAGTGCATTGTGTAGCATTTGCTTTGCAGCAGGAATGTGGCACAGAGTTGTTATGCTGGCCATACCATGGTATTGCAGTCCAGTCTGTGATGTTATTCACCCCACAGCACTCCAACTGGAAATGTAAAAGTAAAGAAGGACGAGGGGAGAATAAAGAGAATGAGAATCCTTCATGCATCTATTGCGTCTGTCATTTCCTGTGCAACCAAAAACGATATGAATGAACCTTTCAGCCTTACTTGAGATTGCAAGTAATCCACTGCATGGGCTTCAGTGTTCACACCGTCATACTTTTGAAAGACGCTGTTCATTGACTTTTCTAGGTCACCCTTAATCTGTAAACATCATAAGAAACAATTTCCAATTATTCATATTTCTACAGATTGTACACATTATTCATTATTTATCTAATAATTACTTACTCTTCCCCTGTAGATGAAGCCAAACACAAAAGCGGTCACCTCAGCTGCGAAGATTATCATGATGATGATAAGAAACTAAATGCAAATTCAGAGAAAAGTATACAATATTAAAAATGATGAAACGAGTACTACCCCAGAAGTTTTCAAGAAGGAACAGAAACCACCATATGGTCCCTACTTTCTATTTTCCATTAAATAAACTGAAACAAAGGCTTTGGGCACAAAAGGTACACAGACAGATGGCCCATACTTACAAAGCCTAAACCGACTTTGGACTCCCTCAGAGTTGCACAGCAGCCAACAATCCCGATGACAAACATGACCACAGCCACACCGATTATAATGGCTGCTGGGATGACAGAGTACTTATCAGACACAAAGTCTTCAAAGTTGTTGTAGCTCTTTATCACATAAGAGCCAACATACGCGAGGGCCGCTCCAGCAGCCTGGAGAAAAAAAACAACAACAACAGGTGGGTCAAAGACATGATCCTCAGATTTATTTATTTGTTCCAAAATACATTAAAAATGACTTTGAAAAACTTTATTAAAAGGTAAGGTTAGTTAAAGTCATGTGGGGCAACTCCCCGAAAACATTATTTCAGTTTTTATTATTTCATGACATTTGTAAGGGGGAAAAAAAAGAAAAATAATGATTAAGACGTGTACACTCGCATGTATTTCCTTTGTAAGAAGAACGACATATGTTATTAGTTTTTACTTCCACTACACAACATGACATTTTAAAACAGTGGTGCTCAACCAGCAAACTAACTAAACATTTACTTGTGTGTACAAAAAAAAAAAAACAGTTATTAAATGCATATAATTTTCAAGAAAGGTTTACTTTTTTGACATTCTTTTTTGAAAATCATAAACTATTTGGCAAAAACATTTTAAACTTTTTTTTATTTTTTTTAAGATTGTTGAAATGAGAAAGCATCACAAAGTAACATGCTTCTCTGAATTTCCAGTTCACTTCCATAATAACAATACATTCATCATCTCTCACATGATGTCATAAGGTGTCATTTCATAACAAGTACACTTTGGAATTCTTGGTGATGTATGACTCGCTAGCGCATGATCTGTTTCTTCAGTAGTCAGTCACAATGCACAGTCACGAGACTATGAGTAACCTTCTCCTGCCCTCTAATCTTTCCTGGAACGCTAGTCTTGTGCCTCAGCTTGAGCAGAAGCAGCACAGCAAAACAGAAACCCTTGAGGCATGAAGGTACACATGACAACGGCAATACATCAGCTTTCCACAAGACAAAGATGATACAATAAGAGATTTCTGTTCCAGATTTCCAGGTTTTGTTACTTACTGCACTATTGTTAGAGAAAGAAATAAAAACTGTCTCACAAAACCACAAGTGCATGATGTCCAAAAGGGCAGGAACAACAGGGCCCCTAAAGGCCTTAACCTTAAAAAAACAAGTGTCTTGATTTCTGTGAATTTTAGCAATGGCTGGCTATATGTAGAGGAAAGTATTAAAATGGCTATGCAGAAGAGTTAAAAGTCATGTTTTTTTTTTTTACAGAACTCCCTTTCCTGCCCATTTAAGCCTAAAATGAGTACACTAAGCCAAATTAGATGACTAGGCCTACATGATGACAGAAAAAAATCTTTTTTTTTCTTCTTTTAAAAAAAAAAAGTTTATGTTAGAAGCTCTGACAGTTACATCAACTCTGATGGAAACAAGTGTGAATACCTTTAAAGGCTACAAACAACACAAGCTCGTTCATATGGTTTTCTTAAGTGTATAAACAAAGAGCAAACAAACGACTCACCCTAAATTAAATTACATTTTAGAGAAGAGCTCGCTGTCAGAAGCAAGTTACTCTGACTAAACATTAATTTAGTGTCTGGAGGAGGGGAACAACCTCTGGATGAATACAAACGATTGTGATGCTTATAAAGGACCCTTCTTCCTACAAATAGTAATCAAATAACAGCAGTATGGGTTTGTAAACCTCTTAGGGTACTTTCTATAACAACATACAACAGAAATTATGTTAAAAAGAACAACACAAACTTACCCAAAATATTAAACTGAGAAATAAAAGAACGGTTTTAGATGTTAGAATTCCGCAATCCATGTCTGCTGCTGAGTGATGGGCCCAAACTGTGAATGTTTCCGATTTGTGACGTTTTCTGAGTTTGTCAGTCAGTCACATGCTCCTCTTAAGCTTTAGGAGCGGAAACCCCCAGGTCCTAAATACCGTTGCGCTCCGTGGTTTATAGCCAAGGGGCTCACGACGGAAATGCGTGACGCGTTGTCTGGGTACGTGAGACGTAAAAGCACTGAAAATATGGGACAGTATAGATCCGTGATAGAGCACTAATAAAAGCTGTTTACTTTCAGCTTTTGAGTTCTTCTTTATTATGCTACAAACCTTTGAATGTAAATATATCAAGACAATATTTAAGGAAGTATAACTTTTGACACTGCATTTCACTCGATTTTTTTAGCTGAACTGGGACAGATCATTAGCAAAATTGGGACATGTCAACTTGAGGTGGTCAAGCTTGTTTTTGTTGCATGGTAACAGGTTTGTTAATGGTACAAGGGGGCCTACTTTTAATTTGTTTACACAGCAGCTTTGCAATGTCAGTTTGGAGGACAGAATTTATAATTGGCACCTTAAAACTAAAAAGATTCAATACCTTAATGCTCAGTACACTTGCGAAAGCCTCACACTATGTTGAACTTTGCCAAACACAAAATGTTGTGAATTGCACTGGCTTATAATGAAGATGTTCAGCCTTTTTTTGAAGCACAAGTAACACAGCACAGGGTTTTAATTTTAGTTGATCACAAAACCTCTCACAAACTGAGCATGTTTGATTTAAAAGTAGTAAAATCATTTACGCTTATGTAACCCTCAGACATCTCTGAACATGCAAAACAACCAAAAGGGTCCTTTTAGGTCATTTATCATCCAACTGACATGGCATCAGAGATAAGGTTTCAGCGGTCTGGGAGACACCCTTCTGGTGTAATAACTCCAGAAGATCAAACTGTAAGAAGTAAAACGCTTTTATGAATTAAACTAATATGATTTTAACATTATTTGAAGTTTTAAATGTCAGCCACATAAACACAATGGATGTAATGAGTGACATCTAATAGCCTCAGATCTCAGACAATCACACCTGATATATCTGAAGGTGTTAGCATCTAAATAAAATAAAAAGAATACATTAAAAATATAATTTATCGTTGTTATTGGAGTTCTAATTACATTTATTCAGCGTGTCAGTGTTTTTGTAGGGCCATAATTTGCTAAAAGTGAGAAAAAAGAAAATGTGTTTTAGTCAGCTAAAACTGCATTATTTGTTGAAAAACTCTGCAAAATATTCTATTTTTTAAATTCATGATAATATTAAATATGGTCCAATCTCACAGAACAATTGCACATAATAAGCAAATAATCTTTTTAAAAGCATGCAATTATAAAAAGTCTAGAAACTGTTCAGTCTTAAAACAGCATGACACATTGATTCTTCACATTTGCAAATAGAAAACAAGTTTTAACTGTATTAATACAATGCTACGTACAAGTTAAATGTTATTGTGGCACTTTTTTATATTTTCTGGCTGCCAATCCGGGTCGTTATATTATTTAAAAAAACCAGAAAACATACTCTTTCTATTGATCGGAAAACACAAATTATTGCGGCTCATAATAAGGCGCTGAAATCATGATTGCTAGAGTCTACACGGTTCTCATGTTGACTATTTTAATTGCACGCGCCCGCCCTCCAACTCAGTCTCATCAGACATCTCCTTCCAGCTGACGTTCCAGCTCAAATAAGCTGTCAGTCATGTCCACAGCCTTTCCATCAGCCCCATCTTCTGCTACTAAAACGCCAAGACGAAGGTCCAAGGCCAAGAAGTCAGGAGCCAGCGTGTCTGATCTGATCCTCAAGGTCTTGTCATCTTCAAAGGAGCGCGGTGGCGTCTCTCTGGTCGCTCTGAAGAAAGCTCTGGCTGCCAGTGGTTATGATGTTGAAAGAAACAACTCGCGCATCAAACTGGCAGTAAAGCGACTGGTGGCCAGCGGTCGCCTGATTCAAACCAAAGGCACTGGAGCATCTGGATCATTTAAGATCGGCTCGAAAGCTGCTACAAAGCCTAAGAAGCCAAAGGCGAAGAGGGCAAAGAGAAAGACGGCTAAGAAACCTGCTGGGGCAAAGAAATCACCCAAGAAGAGAAGGAGAAGTTTGAGAAGTCCTGAAAAAGCCAGCGAGACAGCTGCGGTCAAGAAGACCACAAAACCCAAGAGAGCCAAACGAAGAGCTTCCAAAACAAGCAAAGCAAAAACTGCCAAAAAGTAGCCTAATTGACAGGATAATGACTGTTGTTCATACGTTTTAAAGGATTCTCGCATCCTTTTAATGCTTTGTAAAAATAAAATGATTCTTAATTAACAAAACCCTTTTTGTCTCTTGATGCATTCAACTTGGTTATTTTATTAGTAGTAATAGTATTTTATTTTACACTATTATTTTTTACACAATAAATTACATTTATTACGTTTAAACACATTTTGTTTACAGCAGACCAAAGTTCAAAAATATTATTTTATATTATTTTAGCTTAGATGCCCAGTTTGTTTAATATCTAACGGATAAATGTTAAAAATAGCTCAATTTTGTAGTGTAAAGTGAGTGTGTAATTACGCACGAGCTTTATACAGGTTATTCCACTAGATGGTGTTATCTGAAAAGCAGTAGACTGCTAAGTGCTTTTAGTCATCCTTGTTTAGACATAAGGGTTAGGGCACTGGGGCTGGTGTTCAAATATCACCATCTAGTGGAATAACCTGTATAAAGCTCGTGTGTAATTACGTCACTTATTCCGTAAAAAAAGAATTAAAAGACTAATTATAAGAAAAAGAAACGGTTATCCAAGAAAGCAATTATTTTATACTACAGTGTTTTTTAATTTCAAGCAAATGTTAGGAGAAAATTTGAAATTTACATCAGGGTAAACTGATCTGTGTTGTACCAGAAAACCTTTGAGGACGTTGAAGAAAAAAGCACAATTTCATCAAGGGGAATAGCATATTTGATTAGAGCAACTGAGAAAAACTCTCACTTTACTGCTAATGACTTGGAATATGACATAATGGAAGGAGGAAAAAACATTTCAGTGCAGAGTGTAAGAAAACTAGACAAGAATGGCTGTCATGTTAGGACATCTTGCGGAATGCCACTCAAGAAGAACATAAAAAGCCAACTTATAATGCTAAAATAAATTTGGATATATCTGTGGAGTCCCGGAAGAATGTTTTATGGAGTGATGTGACCAAACTGGAAATTTTTGGACTCATGGATCAGTGTCTGGTGCAAAAAAGGCAAAACTTATGAGCAGAAGGACACCCTCTCCATGATCAAACACGGAGGTGGACCTGTCTTGTTATGGGGGTGTTTTGCTGTTGCAGGAAGTGGAAATCTTGACTGTATGAAGGACATCATGGATTCTTTGAAGTATCAAGCCGTTTTGGCAAAGATTGTGATGTTTTTGGTGCAGAGACTGAAGCTTGATGATCAATGGTGTTACGTCCTTGAGTTGTGTTAATGTATCTTTTATTATTTCCCCAAGTCTCTCTTTTTACTTTCACTTTCCTAGCCACGTCCCATTGGCCCATGCCACACACCTGGTCCACATGTTCCTGTGCTGTCATTGACCAGCACTTTAATCTGATTGGTGCCCAGAGTAGATGCCATTCATGAGTCTCTAGACGCTTCAAAACTTTATTCAACTTTTCATCCTATAGTTGTGCTGTAGTGAATCTTAGTATCCCGTGTGATTCTGCACAAAATCTGACTATTGGGGATTGAATAATTTTGTAAATGAATGTTTAGAGCCAATTTTATGTATGTATGTATGTTTGTATTTATTTAATTTCCCTCTACTTTACATTCAATCACTCAAATGTGTATTAATAAACTGTCGCGGGGTGAATGAGAACACAGACTCGGTACTGATAGAAAGAGCCCCGGAGGGTGATTTACTGCCCACACACTGATCACACGTGCGCGGAGGAATGGTGCTCGGTGCCCGTGGGGTGAAGTGACGGGGTGCCGTCGGAGTCTGTGAATAAAGGAGAAACAAGCATTAATGTCGCCTGGAGCTCCGGTGTGCCTCCCCGCTGGTGTCTCTGCTCCTGGCTTTTATGGCCAGCGGGAACGAGCTCCAGGTGCGCCACTCATCACGCACAGGTGTTGTGCTTCTGTGATCAGTGTGGCAGCGGCGTTTCCAGGGCGACGCTGATCTGGAACCGGGATACTCGCCACAAAACATTCTAGGTTGCTGATGCCTTGCTGAATTGTTTTCATAAAATTTTGTTCTTGGCATCAAAATGTCTTGCAGGTCAAGGGGTTGAATAATTCTAATTGCCACTGTATTGTGTATTGTATTGCCACTGTATTGTAACATTAATAATAATAATACATTTCGATTACATTTTGTTTTGCCCACTTTCTCATAAACTGGAAAACATAATATAATAAATGGGTTTTCCCTCTATAACCTCCTAATTTGTTCCTTATTGATAAGAAGTAAGGTAATTGGAGTAGTCATGTTTAGATATTGGGCAGAATATGGTCATGCAGAATAAGGCACTGGTGCTTTATAACTATTAATAAGCAGTCAATGTATGCTAATAACCAAGTAGTTAATAGTGAATAGTGATCCCTAATCTAAAATGTTACCAAAAGTGTTTGACATGAATGTAAATTCCCAACCAAGTTAAAAATGACTTAAATCGTACTTTTGACCTGCAATGAGATTCACTATCTCTCATTTGCTTATCTATAGAATACAATACTAATAACTGACAGTGAAAATGTAAATGCAAACATAACAGTATAAAAATAGCAACAAGCAGTAAAACAGCAGTAAAATAAGTTTAACATTAACCAGCAAAATGTATTCATACTTAGATGCAACCGGAAAAGAATTTATTTTTGAGCCTATTGGGAATTTCCTATGTTTTTTTCCCCAGTGTGTTTTTTGTTTTATAAGTTAAATAAGACTAAAATAAAATCAGATGTTAGTAACATGTTTTTCTGAAACCTGTCATTATGTTTGGCCCATTTTCATACAAAAGTCTTGCATAGTTAAGAACCTGCAGAGTGTAACTAGCAGCTTTTCC